AACTTTTATCGGATTTTCTAACGTCAGTTCTATTTATTCTGGCGAAGAGTGGTTTTCTAATTTTCAGTTAACGGAAATTAATTGATACTTATGATTTACGCATTTATTAACAATGGGAAGTAACTATTGTAATGAATGTCAAACGTTTACAGCAGTTGTCTTTCTTGTCTGTACGGTGTTTGTGCATTGCAGACATCTTTTGTATCATTTTTTTTCCTGAAAATATTTGAACAGTTAGCTTTTGGTATTTGCTTAAATCATGACTGTATAAATTTAGAAATATGATATAAATTTGAGATGTAATTTTACCACAACCAGAAATAAGATTTTACCACAGCCACTTAGCCGATTTTTTATGAAGCTTTATAGGAATTAGTAAATAATAAAATATTGTCCATGTCCACAGATGATCGATAAAGGGCCTTGGTGGCCCTCTTGTTAGAAAGATTTAGAGAGGCTTGCTTTGGCATTGCAGTTTAGCGATAAACTATATTCCAAGTTGATAATTGTTATCGGAATTTTGTTGTTGTTGTTTACTGTTGTCCACTCACTCACTCACTCACTCACTCACCATCTCACACTCACTCACTCACTTATTCACTCACTCACTTATTCACTCACTCACTTATTCACTCACTCATTTATTCACTCACTTATTCACTCACTTATTCACTCACTCACTCACTCATATAGTGATAAAAAGCATTGTTCTAATACATACTAATAAGTAAGTGTATGTACATTTTTATTGTAAATTAATTACAGCACAGGTGTTCACATTTTTATTCTAAACGGTCAGACTGTCATCTAAACGTTCGACTTTAATGGGCAAAAAATAAAAGCTGAATGTTTATAAAAAATATGTTAATTTTGAGATGTTTTGATACGCTGCCCTTTTATATTAATACTGTTTTTGTTAACGTTTTTTGTTCATCTACACACCCACGCCATTACTGTTGAGGTAACGTAACATTTTAATAGCAGCACTAGTAAAATATAAAAACTGTTATTAAAAACGCAGAAAATGATTCTAACCTTTAAATTGCATTTTTATAACCTTAATTGTACCTTGAATAAAACTATAACATCTAGACAATTGTTTTATTTTAATAATTTTTCTTCATTTAATGTCAAGAAATCTCACGCTATTTTTGCATAAACATTTGCACGAGCATTTGTTTACAAATATACATTTTTAACTATTGTTTTATTGTGGCATTGAGCGATTGCTTTACAGCTTTATAGCAGTTATATTGATATATGATTTTTAAGTTACAACTTCGACAAGTTCATAACTGCATGAAAATTCGGCAAATTGCAGTATTGTTCGTTTTATTAAGTAAGACCAAAAGGGCAAACTTGGTTTGATGTAATTAAACGGACTTTTAATGGATTTAACTCCAAAATGTTTGACGTTTTGGTCCTGGAATGGCCGCGGAAGTTTTTGAGTTTTGGATATTATAAGTCTTCATCCGCTTGGTAACATGACTGTTGCTCTGTGTAGCTTACCATTTAATTGGGGGGCCAATATCATATGATGTATATTCCCTGCATCTTATATGTGTTGATCATTTCCGACCAACACGCATTTTTTTAGTTCTGTGATCTGAATGTAATTAATAGATAAGTTCTTACAAGTTAGTAGATGAATGTTTGTCTGAGGAACTTTGCCTGTTAGTATGATTCGAAGCTTTGACCCTTGATTTTACCGGTTAATACCCCGACGTCATAGTAGCACCAACACGAGAACATTATAATGTTGCTATTGAGCGCAATTTCTCGCACAGTTTGGCTAAATTCCGTGTTTGGCGAGTGTGTTATTTTTTCTCCAGCTATCAGACACCTTGAAGTTATTTCTCTAGCATTTTTTTCCAATCTCGGACGGTAATGAACGGAGGTTGTTTAATCATTGTATGCGTTAACTTTATCTGTCGCTAGGATCGTTAGAGAGTGCTTACAAACCTTTTTTTACCCCGAGATTGTTTGTTTTCTGCATATTTCTCATCTTTGATAAAGACGGCCGTTCCATCTTTTAACGTAAATATTTACTGCATCATAGCTCTTCATTTTGCACAGGTCACGTGATCTCTCTAGGATTTTTAGAGGCGGAATTTTAAAATATTATTATGATAGTTTTTCTTAGGAGAATAAAGGCGGATTTCAAACTGAATTAACTTGTTCTTAAAATTTACAAGGAAAGTAAGAGATGTTTATTTAAATTTCGTAGTTTTTGCGGGAATTTTTTCAATTTTGTTATTTCTTTTGGTGTGAATTTTCTGAGAAGATTTTCATCTATAAATATTTTATTCATGTTCATATGTATGGATTATTTGAAAAGGCGGAATATAAAGTCATTTTCGAAGAAGTTAATTAAAATTGGAATTCGAAAGTAATATTTTGATACAGTGCATACATTTAAGATTACAGTAAGGTAAGATTTAAGCTGAATCTAACGTGAAGTTCGAGGAGCACGTGCATTAATGAAATTATTTTCTTTTAATGTGGTACGGTAAAAAGGTGCAAAAGATTTAGAGTAGTTTAGAAAGGTGTGATAGAAGATTAACAGATAATACATTTTGGATATATAGGTATGAATCTTTTTAGAAAATGCTGAAAGGTTTAGAAATTGTTGTTTATTTTTTTGGTACAGGATAGGTTTTTCTATCTGAAAGTGAGGTTTTTGTTTTTCGGGTTTTTTTGTAGATAGATTTTCAAGTTTTAAATTTATTTTATTTTGTTAATCAAAAATAGTAAAATGTGGAAATTATGTGGTGAGCTTTTAATTTATATGTGACGTCATGGATGATCAATGAAATCATTGTCCGGAGAAGGTATTTTACTGAACATCATTTTAATTATCATGTGTTTGATATATCATTGTTTTTATTTTATTATTTTTATATTACATTTGTGCGAAGCTACGAGTTTGTTTGCTGTGCATTTTGTTTGTTAACTTAGAATATTTTGACTTTCGATACTGCTTATTTATTTAAGTGGGTTAGAAAAACAGCTTGGACGTTGCCTTTTATTAATTTTGGCAAATTTTCTAGTTTTCAAATTCTTGATTATCATAGTTGTTAATTTCATAAAAAAGTTATGGTTTATAACCAAGTGGGAAATTACAAATTAGTATATAAGTATGGCTGAAATTACGTTGATGATAACGTTAAGATGTTAGTGATGATAATGATGATATTGATGATGATGATAATGATGATGATGATGATAATGATGATGATAATGAGAGGATGTTTTTTCGCTGCTGACGAATTGCATTATTTTGTATTAAAGCACCTTCTCGGAGTTGATAAATGAAAACTTTCTGAAACTGATTTGTATGTTGTAAAAACTTATATAGACTAACTTGACATTAAAATTTGATCATTTTTGTCATGAGGCTTTTACTGTCAAAATCAAATATCATATTGACGTTTGTTGTGAAAGTTTTTGTCATGTAGTTTTTAATTGTTTTAATTAGTAGACAGGTGTATATAAGTCATTACAACAGGGTGTTCCTCGTCTCCTGTCAAACTAGCTAGCAAGCGTATGTATCAAAAATTTTCTTTAAACGAAATCTTCAAAGTGTGTACCAAAATTGTAATGAAAATCTTGACGAAAATTACTATATTATAGTTGAAAAATTAGTTGAATACAACGATTTGGTTTTTGTGTGTGAAATGTTACTTTCTGGGCGGATAATTTGCTGTAGCAGAATTATATGTGGACGAAATACTTTAAAGAATAATGAATAACGAAAATTACATATTATATCTATTTCACTTTAAGAGAAATACAGAAAAAAGTGGTGAAAATAAGGATATTTTTCAATAAGAATATTTTAAAACAGTTACCCTTGAATTATATTTGCACCTGTGTGTTGATTTTGGAATGTGAAGTTGGTCCTATTTTGATAAATTGCTATCTTCGCAAAATAACGAAGCGTTAACTTTGATCAACTTTGCTGGCAAGAATTGTATGGAAATATTGAGAGATGATATAAACATGTGAGAAGCTTGTTTTGGACTGTTTTAACACGTGGTACATGATACAGATATACGTATTTTTCACTTTTTGCATAAAATTGATTTGTAAATGTAGTTGCTATTTTTGGAGACATATATTAGAATGTGTTGTATGAGTTTTTCCAGCGTTAACTTAGTTAACTAAAACATATTTCAATTATATAGGATGTTACAGGTGTTACTTTATTAAATATACGCATTTTCAGTCTATGAGGATAAAGAGCAAGCCAGTGGCAATCTTCTTGTATGAGTTTTATGTAAGATTTTATAAAATAACGAATGTAAGTATGTAAGTGTCTGTTCATTACATAATGTTATACGCCCCACCAACTAAAATAAGCCTGGACAATGACAAAACTTTACTTCTGACTGTGTTATATCGGACAAACGTCAAAAATGTGAAAATCTTAAAACCTCCGAATGTCGGACCATTTTAGCAAATGAAGAAAAACGTAATTTAAAACAAGCATACCATATTAACAAATTTTATTTGATAAATGCAAAACAATTTGCTTTAATAATTGTCTGTATTTAGCATGTTGGGCAAATACACCGATGACATTGTCGAGTACATGGTTGTTCTTTTATGTTGTGACACTAAGTCGCAACCGTAATTTGCTCGAAGAAAGTTTACTATTACTTCCATCGTAGACTTATAAAGTTATTCATATTACCAACTCGGTTGTTCCAGAACGCAAAGAATTCCTTCTGAAATTTAGAAAGGCCACCCATATAAATTCTGTGCACATAACTCGTGCAAATTAAACGTTGTGGAACACTGTCACTTTGATCACTTAAGGATTTTGTCTTCTTTAACACGACAGAAAACACGGACTATTTAGGTACTACACAAAAAAACTTGATGATTTTATCACATTGAAAAACAAGCAAGGTCATGTGATTAAACCGTTTATTAGTATTTATGGGATATATTTTTGTATTTCATTGTAACTAATTGTGGTTGTCTTTATTTTTCAGCACGGAGACTACAAAGCAAAGAAAACCACCAGGTGTCATGTCTATATTGTGCCTTGTTGCCTTGAAAAGACGCCTTTGGCTGTTGCCAATTCTGACGTCAGCATGGCTGTTTTCGTCATTTTGGACGTCGTGAGTATTATTTTTTATATAGGCCTTTTGATACAGTAGCTACATTACGGTATAATGAGATGATATAATGGACTTATTAGTTTGTTTCAATGCCACCTAAATACCAACGATGCCCCATGCGTATTATTGGCAGGCCCGTCTTATGAACGAGTCATTATAGGTTATCGTATCAGTATATTATCAAGTTCGTAAAATTGAAAAAAAAATGAGAATGCGTCCGAAAATAAGCGTTACTTAGCACGAACTATATAAAATGTGCATGGTATATGTAATTTATCAATTATTGTAGCATACGACATATGTAAGAATGTTTTTTGTCGATATAAATTGGCCCACTGCAGTGAATGGCAAAACAGGATTCGACCTCGTTTTATTATATGATACAGAAGGAACCTGGCATATGTAATTATCTCTCGTTTACAAGACATTACGTAACCTTTACTCATTACTGGCTTGTAAACTGCAAATTAAAATAAACTAACCTGAACAGACATTTAATTAGCCTCTGGTTTTTTGGCATTGAATAATGCATCAAAGAAAACGAGTCTGTGACCCAGATTTTTAACGTTTGTCTGATCAAAGTGTTTCTAATTGTCCTTTTTTGTGAGTAGTTAGTGGCAAGAAGTTCCAGTTAACTGTCAGTTAATTTCAAAGGCTACGTGTTTATACAAAAAAAAATGCTGAAATAAGTTTTAAACTTAATATGCATTATAATGAAAGTTTTTTTCTATGGTTACCGACCAAACCATTCATTCATTAATCGGTTGGTTTGGGTCTTGTCCGGTCCGATCCTGGTCTGGTCGGTCGGTTTGGTCGGGTCTGGTACAGTCGGTCGGCGAATGGGCCATCAAACAAAGCAATAAACAAATCGATCAGTCAGTTAACCAATCAAACAATTATTTGGTCGATCGATCAATTTGAGTATGACGGCCTATCAATCAATTTAGCAACTTTGACGAATTTTCGGAATTGTCATCATATTTTTTTTTACTTTGAAAAATTCAAGCATTTCCTCATATAAAATTATATGTGTTTGGGTTATTGACTGATTAAAGAACCACAACTCGTGCTATATTTTCATCTATTCGGAATACCTCGAAAATTTACCCGTATTCCTTGGAAAGCCACTGTATTTAAATTGCCCTGCATTTTCTCTTTTAATATTTTACAATGAGTTCAGCGCATGTAAGCATCTAAATTTGACGTGATATATTTATAAATGTCAGGATTTTTTATCGAAATATTTCAATTTATGTTACATGATTATCCAAAAAACGTACATAAATCTACAATTGTATACGTGGCTGGTGATAAGTGATACAAAAAGCTACGAATCAGTATATTTATGAAAAATAAGTTGGCACAAGGCGCGTGCTTTAGAAAAAAAGTTTATTTTTAGAAATGAAAATAAGATGAGATCAAAATTTAATATTAATTCTACTGTATACCATGATTTGTTCATTCATGTTCGCTGCATGGAATTACAAGATATGAACAAAAAATATAAGTTGTAATAAACAAGACAACTATAGTCTGAACAACCTAATTTATTAAAATGCTCTAAAATTCTAAAGATTAAAAAATAATCTCATTTAAAGCGGCACTCCCCTAGATTACCAGCAAAGTTTTAGAGGGAAAGAAAAAATAACATACTATTATAATTATTCACAATGCAGACATGATTTACAGTGTTATATCACCTGCATATTAGGACCCGACTTTGATAATTTTATATAAACCTTATTTCTGAATTCAGTTTAAATATATGACTTTATAACCATGTAACTTTATAACGATTTTCATGATTCCAGTTTATATCTAGTTTATAGTGGTAAACGCATTTCTGAATCCAATTAACAGTTTATTTCTGTATCAAATTTATTAATGGTTATTTTGAAACAATATATCTGAATCTAGTTTATAGTGGTAATTTTATATTCAGTCTACATATGAACGACTTATACTTATGTTGAAGTTATATTCATTGTATTTTATCTTCAGATATGGTATAGCAGTATCATACAATCATACAGAGGCGAATTTTCCATACATTAGGTAAGTTAATATCTATACTATGGTGGTAAATACGTGCCCTGTTTTACTACAAACATATATGGTGGTAAATACGTGCCATGGTAACCCTTACAAGTTACTGCAATCATACTATGGTGGTAAATACGTGCCATGCTAACCTTTACAAGTTACTGCAATCATACAATGGTGGTAAATACGTGCCATGTTAACCCTTACAAGTTACTGCAATCATACTATGGTGGTAAATATGTGCCCTGTTTAACTACAAACATACTATGGTGGTAAATACGTGCCATGTTAACCCTTACAAGTTACTGCAATCATACTATGGTGGTAAATACGTGCCATGTTAACCTTACAAGTTACTGCAATCATACTATGGTGGTAAATATGTGCCCTGTTTTAACTACAAACATACTATGGTGGTAAATACGTGCCGTGTTAACCCTTACAAGTTACTGCAATCATACTATGGTGGTAAATACGTGCCATGTTAACCCTTACAAGTTACTGCAATCATACTATGGTGGTAAATACGTGCCATGTTAACCTTTACAAGTTACTGCAATCATACTATGGTGGTAAATACGCGCCATGTTAACCCTTACAAGTTACTGCAATCATACTATGGTGGTAAATACGTGCCATGTTAACCCTTACAAGTTACTGCAATCATACAATGGTGGTAAATACGTGCCATGTTAACCCTTACAAGTTACTGCAATCATACTATGGTGGTAAATATGTGCCCTGTTTAACTACAAACATACTATGGTGGTAAATACGTGCCATGTTAACCCTTACAAGTTACTGCAATCATACTATGGTGGTAAATACGTGCCATGTTAACCCTTACAAGTTATTGCAATCATACTATGGTGGTAAATACGTGCCATGTTAACCCTTACAAGTTACTGCAATCATACTATGGTGGTAAATACGTGCCATGATAACCCTTACAAGTTATTGCAATCATACTATGGTGGTAAATACGCGCCATGTTAACCCTTACAAGTTACTGCAATCATACTATGGTGGTAAATACGCGCCATGTTAACCCTTACAAGTTACTGCAATCATACTATGGTGGTAAATACGCGCCATGTTAACCCTTACATGTTACTGCAATCATACTATGGTGGTAAATACGCGCCATGTTAACCCTTACATGTTACTGCAATCATACTATGGTGGTAAATACGCGCCATGTTAACCCTTACAAGTTACTGCAATCATACTATGGTGGTAAATACGTGCCATGTTAACCCTTACAAGTTACTGCAATCATACTATGGTGGTAAATACGCGCCATGTTAACCCTTACAAGTTACTGCAATCATACTATGGTGGTAAATACGTGCAATGTACCATGTATAGCCTTACAACAACCATACTCTTAAAGGGCTAAAGAACCCCACTCTTTCAAGGCATAAAAGGAACAATGTTATATATAATGTCACGTGAAAGAGCTAAACATTATAGGTGCAGTATTTAATCATTGGAAACAAAACAAAACAAAAAACACCCACTATGGTGGCAAACAAGCGCTATGTTTCTGTCTAAAAAGCGTATCATAATAGATGACTATAAACTTTAACTAAATACTGAAAAAAATCGTGTCTTTTTTGTTCCTAGTTTTACGAGATTATTTATTACCTCCCAACACGAATAAAAAATTGTGACTTATACGTAATTGTAAATAATCATAAAAGTCGAATTCGCCTTTATGTAATTTGATTCATTTATGTTATTCTTTTTTTTCGACTTTTTTTATTAAAGTAACATTTCTTCACTATCTAATTATCACATGATTTAATGCTATCTCTGTTTATATAATTCATAAGATGAGTGCATCACATGTCATTCAGTGCGACAAGAGTTGCCGTAACTGAAAATAGTTATGCTGATCTGCCTTCCGCGTAAATTTATGTATTTGTATTTTATTTTAGTTTTCATGCTGTAAACTTTTTATGCTTCTATTGCAGTCATACGGCTATAGAAGCGCCTGAGAGATGTGTATTTGGTCAAATGGTGAATGTAGGTGCCGTCATGTGTAAGTATAAGTCGTGTATAATTATCTATCGTGGTAATTGTCATATGAAATAAAAGGAATTACCTCAACTTTCAAATGATTGTTACTAATTGTAATTACAAGTATTATGATAATAAATTATAGTTTGATACTTATTTCATGTGAATACTTAACAAAATTTGAGCCGTGTTATGACAAAACCAACATAGTGCGTTTGCGACCAGCATGAATCCAGACCAGCCTGCGCATCCATGCAGTCTGATCAGGATCCATGCTGTTCGCTATCAGTTTCTCTACTTGTTATAGGGTTTGTAAGCGAACAGCATGGCTCCTGATCAGATTGCGCGGATGCGCAAGCTGGTCTGGGTCCATGCTGGTCGCAAACGCACTATGTTTGTTTGTCATGACGCGGCTCATATGTCTTAGGCAAGTCCGGGTAGTACAATTTGCAGTACTATTTCCGAGTGATTATATGGAGTTTAAGCACATATAACAATGTCATATCAAGTCACTTTCTGCAGTATGGGTACATATAACAGTATAGTTCCGAGTGACAATATGAAGTACAAGCACATATCACAAGGTCATTCAAAGTCACTATATGCAGTACGGCTACATATGACAAAGTGGTTCCGAACATAATTAGTTGTTCACATTTCTTACGCACAACTAGCACACTTTATTAATTTCTAATATATATAGATTACAGACTAACCATGCTTTGATATTTTTAGTGGGTATGAACGTGATACTGAGGTACCTATTCTGTAAGAACTATCTAAAGATCAAGATGACACCACCGGAAGACAGATGGTACAAGATCAACTTGGCGGGTCTCGTGCTCGGAATTCTGTCAGCGTTTGGTCTCAGTATGGTGGCGAACTTTCAGGTGATAATTATTTAATGTTGTTAACTTATTTGTTGCATGTCGGTTTGTCTTCCACTAAACTCATTAAAGAACCAACATGCGCATAACAGTTATCCGCTGTTCCCCAATTTTAAGAGTGGTTACAAGTAAAACGTTGCGACTGTCATTCAAAATATAATGATCTCATTGATATTTAAGAAGTCATAACCAAAGAGCAAAGATAATGATTTCCTGAAATACGAGTAATATATATTACACTGTTTATAAATGTCAATACCTAAGCTTTTGTGTACTAAACCTTTTTTTCTTTATAGACGGAGGTTCAGCGGGTACCACACTATATCGGGGCGGGTTTGGCGTTCGGACTTGGAACCATATATTGCTGGTTCCAAACTGCTCTCACATACCAGGTTAGGTACCGGTTCAACAACAAGAAATTTGTTCTACTTGGTATCCAGTTCATCAACAGCATCGTCATGTCAGCCATGTTGGTCACCTGTATCCTTTTCTAAAAATAGTCGTTTCTAATATTAGATTTACTAAAAAAATGTAGAATTTTTTTTAACTCCAGTTAAAATGCAAATTATCATTGATTATATGCAGATCTAAATACACGGCGTTATTTCCTTTGCAAACATACGTTGGCGTAATGTGACATGCAAAACTTTTTTTTCTAAATTGCTGTTCTATTTTTATCACGTTCTATTGACATGAGGGAACGACTTAGAATGTCGTGTCGTGACAACCAGTTACTAAGTCGTTTGAACGAGGTAAAAACATTTGAAAAGTGCATATCTGAAAAAAGTATTGCATTTGAAAAACAATGTAATGCAATAAAAATCGTCCTATGGAAAAAATAGTGAATGATAGCTAGGTCGACAGAACGACTTAATATCTCGTATCCACGACATGACTATATCGTGCGGTCGTGCTATTAAAAAAGAGGTGTGCACGACAGCTCTGTTCCACCGTATGTTTTAATGTTTAACATTGTATTAAACGTTTAGTAGGTCCATTTATATGTTTGTTTCAAAAATTTCCTTAACAACAATATAGTTGGAGTAACAAAAGCCATGTACAAAGTACAGAAAAGACAGGGACTGGGGACAAAATGGGTAAGAACCACTTATTAATTTGATGTTACATGTTTGTTTTGTTGTGAATATTTCAAAATGGATATAAGTTATCGTTAATGACTGACATAAAGTCTTGGCTTCAACCGAAATCATACATACACATAATCATGATATTGCTCATTCGAAACAGTGCTTATTATAGAGAATATTTTATCGAAAATGCCGAAAAGTTCTATTTTACCTTGCAGTGCTTCTTTTTGTCTCCAGCTTTCAAATGTTTAAATGTAAATGAAAAGTGATTATTGATTCTAAACAATAATATGAGGTTATCGTTTCAAGCATATAATAATGCTATGATAGTTTCTCTTGTGTGATTACTTCCGGTTAATGATGATTTACTGCGATTGTTAAATACTCAAAAACATGACGTAGGCGTCAAAACAACAATATACCCTTGAAGTATTCAGATAAAAAATTGTTTTGCAGTTTCAAATTTCTGGTATGTAAGCATATGCAGTCAATCAGATAACCGTAAGATAATAAAAGAATCAAAGGACTTTGCACACACTCATTGCACGGATAATTATAAAGGTCACATGCTTATGACGTCATAAGAGCAAGTCATGCCTGTTTCCCTAGAAAGTATATGAAGCAGACTCTACAGGTTGCTGGAAATTTCTGTATCTGATACTAAATTATTTTTACGAACTGTGAAAGCAACTTTTTAAGATAATTTGATTTTTAGTTCTACCAGATAAGATCCGCACAGATACCAACATACGGTATAGAACTGTGCTTCGGTGTAGTCGAGTTTAATTCAGATGCACCTTTTACGTTTGCACCGATTTCATTTTTTTATGCAATTATTTGATAAAAGATGCACAGATACACATTGCGTGATGAAATTTCGGCTCTTGTTATAGTGCATCTTTTTGTACTGCGATAAACTGATAAACTTTATAAATGTGCGTGTACAAAGTGGCAAATCTTGGCAGGAAGACACCGTACACCATTTAGCGGTTTTTTTGCCTGATTATCTTATAACCTGGCACCCTGACACGCGCCGAGTATATACATGTGTGCATGTAATCATCCTGCGTATAAATCTTGCCGTTTTTTTTAAACAAGTATAAGAGATTTGAATAAAATTATATTTTATTTTTATGACGTTTGCAATGCATTGTTTACAATTAAATGTACGTCTAAGTAAAGTTAATCCATTACGGATGATAATTTTGCACTTTCAGGACGCATTGAGGGGTGTTTATCTAACATCTACTGTAACAGAATGGTTACTGGCCTTCTCAATATTGACCTTCACCCTCACATATGCTCCAGATTTCAAAAATATGAGAGTGGACGACCCAAATATTTATTTTGAACCCAAATTTGAGGTAAGCTTGCGTCTCATATTTGTATCCCCTATTGATAAACTTTGTATCATTAAACCATTCCTTTTGATAGAATTTGTTGATTTTAACATTTCCTTTTGATAAAATAAATGAAATTAAGTAGTTGCCATTTAATAGTGATTGTGTCGTTAACGGTCCCTGTAGACGTCTATTCACTAACCCTCGCCACCATGGGTTCGAACTCCGCCATGGACGTTTGAGTCTTCAGTACCATGGAGTATCATTTGCCGTTACGTTGGTGGTTCTAGTGGGGCAAAAAGAATAGGCACCTGTGACCTTACTAAATAAGTTGGAAAGTGGCCATAGGTCATCAATAGTAAATAGAAAAATAAATAAATCCATGTCCCAGCCCGAAATGATTAATCATATGTTATAGTGTACCTATTCTAAATCGGAGATTGATTTTAATTACATAATAAATTTTCAGCGGAAGCACTCGAGGATTGACTTAAAGAAGATGCCCGATAGTAACAGCAACATTACTACTACAGATGTTGAAAAAGGCGGTGAACCAGTTGACAACCAAGTGACAATGGACAAGTCGCAGGAAAGCAACGGTACCACGTGACAATGTCGTCTGCAAAATAAGGACACAAAAAGCGCTTGTGATATTATTACAACTTAATTCCAAGTTATATAACGTGCCTCCTTTTGCCAATACAAATGTGTTCAAATATATTCGGGATAAAAATCTCCCATGACATTTTCAGATGCAAAATGGAAGGCGAGACAAATTTTGGCGTGAGAGAGAAAAAAGGGAGATAACTTTATTTTTCAAACAAAATTGTTTTAATGTATATTTCTGGTGCTATGTTCTTGTTACAAAAATGTTTTACCTCTGGACTAATGACCTAATTTATAAAAGTGCATAGCAAATATGCAGGCTTGGGAGTTGCAGTCTTGTTTATAGCTGAAACGTATGAATGCAACCAGTAATGTTAATAATAATCATTGAAGAAATTTTAAAAAAACGGTAAATGGACTAAATTTACAATATTTTCTTTATGAAGAAAATCGGAATACTTTCATCTTACTTTAGCAGATTATTGCTGCTTTTAAGTCTTTGTTGTACATTTCTCAGCATAATTTATGGACGGGCATGTCTTTGCTGGTCTAAAAGTAACCAAAGGTTCATAACCAAAAGTTTACATAGTAGATATTTTACTGACATAGAATTGAACTTAGATGTGGCCATTGACCATATTCGGATGTATCGCATTTTATCACTTAATTTTTATGCAAGAATGAGAGGCTGTGCTTTTATTTTAATCTTCAATATTTTGCTGTATGTAATATCTAACTCAGAAGACCTTTATCTACCTATGTATGGTACATATAGGTAAAACAACCAACCTGATACTTCAGTGACTTTGTTTTCGAAGTGTGACGTCTTTTTGCCTTGACGCATACCTGGTGCGATATTAAGTCTTATGCATTTAAATACTGCTGTTTTTATGATATTCAAAGTGTACTTACAATCTATTATGCATTGTTGCCTTCAATGGTGCTCAAAAAGGTTTTCTTTGTTAAATTTCATATTTTTATACATTTTCTTTTTCTTTTATATTTTTTGTTACATTACAATTTTTTGTTTGCTGTGTTTAGCTGTATTTTGGTTGATGTGTTTTTACTTGAATCTTTGCTATAAGCACCTAGAAAAATGTTATAACCTCTCAAACTCCTGACAGTGATTACCTCCCTTGGCAGAGTGTACTGATAAGGGGAGATCACTGCGTAGGAGATTGATAAGTTCATTCAGAAGATTTCTCTGCTTTAAGCGATTCAAGTCTTTTTCAGACGATATCAGATTGTTAAAAGCTACTTAAATCCGTAAGAAGTATTTCGAAAGTGAGTTGCTGATAAGGAAGTGACCTTGGTCTTCTACTACATTTTATTTGGTGATTATAGAACCGTATATAAATTATAATTTTTTGTGCAAACTTTATTCTGTCTTCCAATGCACTATACATTATTTTCGACAATTTTTGTTCTTGTTTTTAAGAGCAAAACTTCTTAAAATGCAATATTAAGGCTTTCAGTTAGAAAATATGTGTTCTTTTTGGCATGAAACTTGTATATTTTTCTACGCAATGAGTGAATGCAAGATATTTATTAATTCATTAAATTGTTTAAAAAGTTAACTATAACATTGCTGGGACAGAAATTTACAACTGTATGACGTCAGTTCAACATGTACGTTTTTGTACATGAATCTGACAAGATTCCATGCCGTTGTGACAAAATTTCTACCCTAAAATTTATAATGGACTGATCCAATTGAAGATTGGTCGAGTCCATTTAGAAAATTCAGCAGGTTATAGGTTAAAATACGTTGGTTTTATTACGAGGTATATTTTTACACTATTATTTATTGTTGTATACATGTATATAATGTATGTAAAGGGTTTGATGTGTTAAATATATGTTGGATATTTGTATACCAAAGATCAAAATGAATTTGAGAATATAATAGTAGAAGGGTTATATTTGATATAGACTATGAGGGTAATTTGATGAGGTATTTTGTTGTTTTAGATAACATACTGTAGTAATAAATGAATCAATGTAGTTTATTGTTTATCATAATTAAATAATTATTGTAAAATGTATGTGTTTTTATAACCAATGCAAAACATCTTTTTTTTCATATTTTTTCTTCATTTTTTAAGCAGCTCGCTTCTAGACGAGTTCTAATTTTAATGAATTTTAATTGTTCTGATTAAAGTTTTTCAAATAGTATGATTTGGATTTGTGTATGGTACATATTATTCACAAATTTTAGAATAGTATTAATAGTTAAAATATTTAGGAAAACCTTTGCTGCGTTAGTGAAATGGTAAACAATGTGATGATAAAAAAGAACACCAGAAATACTTCATAAACACTTTAAACATGTTACTTTGATTTTGAACTTTTATATATCGTACAAGCATTACCTGGAATCCCGGATATAACGAAAAAAATGCAGTCCCATTAGAAATTCATTTTAAGTATTTTCCAATGTGTTTCTTTCTAAAATTTAAGATTTTTGAAAAATTGTTTGTTCATCTGTAGGTGTGCTAGCAGCATTAGAAAAGCAATAAAAACATTAATGTATGTATCAAAATTTATTCAAACAATGGAAATTTATTTGAATTCATATACAATGTATCTACCAATAAACAGCAAATAAACATTGATTTCTGTTAAAAAGTGTTTTTTGTAGCTGATGGAAATATTCTGAAATAACTTTCAAAAACTATACCATCACGTAGTTTTCGTACTTTTATATAATCTTGGAGAGAGTTTGGATAAAAAAAGTTGGGATAAAAAAGTATCTACATGTAATGTACAAAATGAAATGTTCCTTAAAATATATTCAGTAACTATTTGTAGTATATGTTAACCAATGATTGGGCGCGTTCGCCACTCGTTTTATTGGAAATTTACACACTTAAGTCTTTCAATTTAGGTACTGTTTTTAGCTGTAAACAATGATTTTTTTAAGATACAAAAATGCTCTACCGTTCACAGACAGCTCAATATAAATCACTTCACTTTTTCAATCAATTTTACTTATATTACACCACATAGAGAAATGTTTTTATGAAATTTCCATCATTTTACCAGTTTAATTATTATTTAAATTATTTGATATTGAATTATGTTCAAGAAGATGTTATATTAACTATTTAATACTGTTTATGAAGATGTTTTATTAAAAAGAATTGTTAATTGTCTCAATCTATCACATTTAAGTTTATCTAAAACTGTGTATTTTGTATAATACTACAGTAGTCAATGTTTTATGGTTTGTAATATAGTTGTACAATACAACCTGTGTAAGGTTGACAAGGCTTTAGGCTGTTGTAAAGAAGTGTTGCTCTAGTGAGATTGAATTTATTGTGTAAGAACAAATGCTATTGTACAGAGATCATTGTTCTACATTATGGCCGCTATATAGAGGTTGCATTAGACATGAAAATGATGCTATTTGACAAACTAAAAGATTACACGAAAAGAGAAAAAAAAAGATTTAAGATATGTAAGTTTTAAAGAATGATATTTACTTATTGAGTATAGTAGTAATTAAGATATTAATACAGTACCATTTAAAATTGTTTTTCTATTTGTTTTTCAATGTTTGTATACAAAAATAAAATACTTTAAATTTGTATTTTGTCTTTTAACGTGTGACCTCCAGCCCACTCCCGCCACAGTAATACTTATTGTACAGGGCGGTATGTGTTTATATTCTAGGGGCGTCTGTGGTCGAGTGAATAAGGTCGTTGACTTCAAACCACTTGCCTCCTACCGCTGTAGGTTTGAGCCGCTCCAGCTCTTCGGATTCTACATAATCGAAAAGCATCCACCTGGCTAACGGAACGTCGGTGGTTCTACTCAGGTGCCCGTTTTTACCTGAAACAATGTACAAATGGACATCTGAGGTCTTCCTCCACCGGTAAAGATGGAATGTCGCGATATGATCTTTACAAAAAATAATAGAATTTTCAAGTAGGCGACATATATATTTCAATGTCTAAAAATATAAATACTATTAGGCAAGAATATATTACTAAATTCTGTTCTGTGTGTAATTAATTAATACATTCTAGTTGAATAAAGTCGGCGAAAGAATATTTTAAAATGTTCTTGATGGAGAGTAAATTACCAAAGACGAGTGTCTATTAAAATTTAGTCGACGACTGTGCATCAGATAGTGTGTACTTAAAAGAGTGTTTCAATTAGAGGTATAAATTCCATTTGCAAACATCTCGCATATATTCAACAATATTCGTATGTTTTCGTATCCTATATCTTATTTTATGAAGCGATGAGTTTACAATTCAGTAGCCACTGATCACGTGCTTATTTAAAGCAGCATGCTTCCAGATTGATATTTATTATCATGAAACTCTCGAAAATGTATTTAAATGTAAAATATTATCAAGTGAATGAAGAAAGTAGTTTACACATTGCAAACGGCAAATAAAATGTACGTAAATTATCAAATAGAGGTCAAAATAATCAAATAGAAATATGTTGATAAATAATGCAATATTAGCCACCATTACTCGCACGTGACACGTAAATTATCAATTGAAACTAGAATCATTTTACTTTTTAAAAAAAATCTTCATTATTTTGACTCAGCTGGAGACATGAAGCATTTTGATCGTTCACAGCTGTGGTTTTAAACCGTTCGTTTCAATGGAATACACGGAATGGTATGATTCAATGAAACGCATCGAATTTAACGAAAGGTTTTGTTTTTTTAATAAAAATATGAGGAGTAATTCTTTTTATTTTTATTAGGTATAACCTACTTATGAGTAAATGTGTAATATTGTCTATAGCTTCAGTTATTCAAAGGCAAAGTGGAAGGTAAGTGCTTATAAAACTTGTCAAAGTTTCTCTTGTTCCTTCACATGTCCCATGTATACGACTAGCATTGTTCTTCCAGGATTTGAGGTAGTCCATTTTACACGTGCATTGAATGGGCGTGTCGTCAATGTTGAGTCGATTGATTCCAGCCAATGAAACGACGGCTTTTGGAATTGTGTTAACTTTTGTGTTGTCCAGGTTCAGCACATCAAACATTCGAATAGATTGGAAGGCGTTGTCAGAGATATATTCTAAAGGGTTGTTGTCAAGCTGAAATACAGTCAAGTGTGTGAGATTGATCAAATCATAATCTTCAAGGGAGGTAATTCTATTTCCTGCAACTGAAAGCGATTTCAAAGCAGTAAAACGGTTTATTGCCGAAGGAAGCCTATTCAGATGGTTATTAGACAAGTTCAAATGGGTAAGCGAATTGTCGATTGGTATGACATTGGCATCGATAGTTCTAATTTCATTATCAGCAAGGTCAAGGTAATCCAATGCCACAAACGTGCTAAATATGTCCGGAAAGTGGGTCAAGTTGTTGGCTTTCAGGCTAACGAAATACAACGAACTTATGTTTTGGTTACAGGGTTCGAAGATTGGCGTCTTTGTTTCGGGGTTAGACGTATACGTTAGTCTCCTCAGATGCGGTAGATGGCAGACGGCTGAAGGAATGCGGTCCAGTCTCGTGTTGGAAATATCCAGAGAGGTCAAGGTCGATTCTATTCCTGTCATCGCGTTCAGCGGAAATCGTTGTTGCTGAAACCCGTCTAATGTTAGCTTCGAAAGTTGTCTGAAGTAGCGAAGTTCCGCCGGCCATTTTGAAAATAAGTTTAAACTTATAGCAAGGTTCTTCAGTGATTTGCTCAAGGTAAACGTTGCGGGAGAGGCCAGAGATCGAATCGGGTTTCTCCGTAGATCAAGTGTTTCCAAATTTGAGAGAGTTTGTAAAGCATTTGGCACTTCAGTCATGTTGTTATTTTGCAAGTTAAGGCTATATACCAATGGTGCAATTGTGTCGAACGAAGATTCAGTTATTTCCATAATATGATTGTTTGAAAGGTTAATGGTAATGATTGAAGCGTTTGTCGAGTCAAGATTAACGAATGATGTGTTGTCAATTTCTTTTATAAAGTTGTTATTCAGTAGAAGTATCAATCTTGGAAGTTCACGATCCGACATTTTGAAATCCGGTACGGAATTAAGACCGGTGTTGGTACAGTCTATAATGGCTCCGCTACATTTACAAGGAGGCGGAGCTAAACACTCATAGTTGACGGCATTATTAAAAAGGAACCCCGAGCATGGCACGGCAAATAACAGCACCCATTTAAACATCTGTGAAAAAACAATAGATAGCTTTCAAAATAAAAAACGTTTATCTCTAAAACATAATTTAGATGGACCGCAGACGACCAAGGGCCTGCTATATTCAAATGTTCACTAAAATCTTACTTTACGGACACACGGCGATCTTCTGAAATCTTGCTTTACAATGTCGAATATTCTTTGTTCATTGCAGACGATAAAAGAAGATTTTAACTATAATTAACTCATAGAAATCTAATCTGTGTTGCCGCATAAAATGAATTCCCAAATACTCTCGTGTTAATAAACATAATGTATAAATATATTTACCTTTTACTGGTCAAGGGTTTGCGAAATAGAGTGACACACTTTCCAAAAGTAATAAATCATATAATAGTTTGATTATATCTTCTTATCTCGTCTGATAGATGAATTTAGTTTACAAGACTTCCACCTGTTATTGTGAACATCGTGAGAAGTCACAGTAATTATGGCAGGCGATATGTACATTAATTCTTTACACTATAATCTTAATTAATCAAACTAATTATTTCAAATGCAGTGTGTACAATAATTACTTTTAAATTATACATATGATAAGATGAAGGCATTTGAAAATTAACGGTTGTTATCGCATATTACCGACTTGAAGTTTTAATGCTGAGAATGCACTGACCACCGGTAGCATAAATGCACGTTATTAACTTAACTATCACACCATCGAGCTCCTATGTACAAACAACCTGACTTTTTTTGCGTAACTAATTTTAAGACTTGGTCCTTACTGTCAGTGGGCAATGTGACTGAAGAAAAGGCACACTGGGTGAGCAATGATTTAAGTTAAGTCTTTAGAATAGATAATGAAAGGACAATTCTTAAAATAAAAATTTATTTAGATAACTTACAAATATAATATTGTACCATATGTTCATGCCATGGAAGAGTTTCACAAACTAAATCAAAGTAATAAAACATGGCAATAACGAAATGTGATAAGTAAGTAAAATTGTTCATTTATCAGCTGTAACTACCTCATCCCGTGGTAGTGCTGGGATGACAGTATCAATTTGCATATGTGTCTACTTATTCTGTAAAAAATAACATCATTTCAGATTCATTGAAATATATATCCTAGCACAAAAAATGATGTCTTTTTTCGTCTTCAATGTCGAGAAGAATAAAAGGTTTACAAGTAACCGCATAATCAGGAAAAATGTAAAAGACAACAATAGTTTAGGTTATAAATGTATTATGATGGGACTTGGTTCAGCTGGTTTCAGCCGTAGAATATATTCAAGGGAAAAGATAACCTAGTTGTTAAGGAGCCTGGCTCTAAAATAAGGGGACGTGAACTTTTCAGTATTGGGGGGCCGAAGACCGGTCTTTAATAGAGGAATTATTAAAACCTGACAAAAGAAAGAAAAATTATGTTAAAAACATGTAAAACTTAAATAAAAATAACTCAAAATGCTTGTGTTTAAGTGATTAATTAACATGTTCTTCTTACAACATCAAGTGGAAAGTTTGAAAACATTATATCAAACAACTAAATTAATTAAGGGAACATTTCTCAAAAGGTTTCTTTGTGATTTGGGCCAACTTTCTGTCGCCAATCGGCCTAACCCTCTAATGCATTATTTTTTGCTTGATATTTTTTAACTATAGGAATTTATACTCCAGTCTTTAGAGATGCACAGGCGTTCACGTGCGTGAAAGCATAGAGTAAACAGCGATATGCACGCAGAAATGATTGGTTTTTCCTCTACTTTATAACATGTGCGTGAAATAAAAAATAAGCAAAATTAAGAAAAAGGTTATAAAGTATTTCAAAAATAAATCTACAATTAACACGATTCTAAACTATCTAGTAATATAATCACATATATTTGCATAAGTCCGTAATAGGTTTTTGTGATATATGCTTGCGTAGAAAAATCGCAACATGTGCTATATCTATCTTATGGTGTAAGAGAAACAACTCTTTTTAAACCTAGTCATACAGGAGATAACTGTTTACCGCCCCTGTTTAAAAATGTGTGTCGTCTGAAACGGGGGTCAATACTGCCTTTGTTGAATCAGTATCATTTTCTATACCGTTAACGTGTTGGACGGCGTTCATTCTTTTTAAAGGTGATTTAGCACTTGAGCCACCGTCGGCGGCGTTGTTTTCATTGCCGGTGTCTGTCTTTTCTTCTTCAACCGGAAATAAGGAATGCCTGGCCTGAGCGTTTACATTCGAATCGTGAATCTGTGAAGAACTAGTTCCCACGTGATGTGGCGCGTGCTCTTGTACAATATCTCCTCCTTCGATGTAATCAAGGTCATCTGGAAGTATTTCTGTCGATTCAAACGAATGCACAGAAGACTCCGTGGTACTACTTCCGGTGTGTGTATGATCAGAACTGAGACGGCGTTTCAACCGGGACCAGCCTGTCGATAATCTTCTCTGAAGAGAAGGTGATGAGGACAGATCTTTTCCGGGAGAATGCAGTTTGATATCAACCTTGCCTTCTTCTGCTGTTGAATGAGAATCCCCCGAAGAAGACGAGGCGGATATTTCAGTTCGCTCCGGAGAGTAGCCTCTATTTGAACGTCCATCTAGTGAAATTGGGACAGATGTCCTATGTTGAAGCGCGTAGCTGTAAAAAGAAAGAATAATAGTCTTTAGTGTGTCTTGCATTTTTTTCGAATTAATATCTATCACAGATATCAATGAGTTATAAATCAATGAACAACAATGGTCATATCCAAATTTTAAATACAGGAAGTTCTAGGACCGTCTCAAGAACTATATTTAGCGGGAGCTAAGAACTATATTTAGCGGGAGCTATCGCGTAAAAGTGCATCTTAAACTTGCTATTTCACTGCATTATAAATTCATATTCTTCTATTCGACGTGTAGCAGACGACAAATCGCGGAGCATTAATTTATATTTGCAAACTATAAATAAAATATAGATAAAATGCCTTTATCATAATCACACACCACTTAAAAATTCGTCTGCAATACTTTGCGCTACTTTTAAAATTTCGTAACAAATAAATTGCGAACATTGTATGTCCTCGATTTTATGCCAATATCGGCAATCTGTCTAATTGAGAAAGAGGACCGATACCTAATGCATTGATTAGTAAAGGATTTAAGTATCATTACTATTTATAATCATCATCATTAACATCAATATTTTTTTTAGATTATTATCATCATTATTATCATCATCATCACCATTGTCAAAATCATAAAAAGATTATAGTCATTATTATCATCATCATCACCATCATCATCGTAGTCCATAATATAATTATACTAGATCTACTAGCATTATTATATTATTATTATCATCACTATCATTATTATCAACATCATATTTTATCATCTTCATCATCATCATCTACTTTTACTTCTTCTACATCACTACCATCATCAGTATCATTATATTTTCATCATCATCATCATTATCATCATCAACTTCATCATCTTTATCATCAATGTCATCATCAATATCATAATTATAGCATTTTATCATCACCATTATCATCATTTTTATCATAATCGTCACTATCATCATTATCATCTTCATCGCCGTCGCCTTCGTCATCATTGTTATAATCATCATCATTATAATAATTATATTTTATAATTATCATCATTATCATCATCATATTATTAGATCTATCTAATGAAAGTTTTCTTTAAAAGTACATATTCGTATATACATGTATATATTCTCTAAATTGTAACGCTTTAATTTAAGACACAATGCGTCTAGTTTACGTTACAAATACCAGATGTACTATCCATAAAAAAGCGGAAAAAAATCTTTTTTTCATTTACAATATAGATCACTGTTGTACATGTAAATTATATTCTATTTAAACATCCAATTCTATTTATATTGTTAACACTTTATTTATAAACCATTTAAATATCTTTATTATTGGAAATAAATCCAAAGAATATGTCTGACCCTATTCCAGCCCGTATGTTCCAGCATCAAGACGAATTAACGCAACAAAGGTTAATTTGCTTACTTACTGAACCTAATCGCGGATATCGGGTCATACACTGTCCTCGTACACTGACGTAGCGACCCGATTATCTGACTCGCTGGTCTAGTTCTCGGCGGAATTTAACGAATGTTGAAAACCGCGCTAGACTTGTTCTAGTTCTTAGCCAATATTTCAGATTGATCTACTTGAGTGTCAATTGTGAACTGCTTTACAGAAATGGAATATTCTTCTTTTAAGATGATTTAGGTAAAGTACGAGATAAATATATGTCACGTATATAGATAGATATTTATAGATATTGGTAGTTTTAATTCAATGAACTTCCTTTCCGTCTTACTCTAGCCGATTATCTTACTGATGACGTAACTATGTATTTTAATACTCGCTCGATTTAAATGTTATATTAGTGTTTATGATAATTTATCAGCTAATACTTTTTTTTTAGATTTCGTTCTTGTGCAACACGCCGACATTACTTTAAGTGGATTTTCATTTTGTGCTAAATAAAGAAGGTATCTTAAGTTTAAGACAACTTTTAACTCGCGCGTGTCTTCCTTACGTTGCATGTAGTTGTCACGTGCAAAATATTATGTTGTATGCGAGTTGTGCATTCTTTATGATATGAAGTTTATGACGGAATTTATGTTGAAAAAAAACAACAACAAAAAAAAACATCGAGAGAACGAATTTTAAATTTGTCCTTGGGATGGACATACGATTCGAAGGGCATACAAGAAAGATGATGACTTTTTCCCACAGATTCCTCCATGGATGAAACAAATGTGGACGTTATGCTATAGATCCATAATCACTATGTAAGAGGAGTATTTTGTTTACGTTAGAATAAACAGAACGTGCATTTTCTCAGGTACACTTTAAATTCACGCGCGTGTTAGCACGTGCATTTGATTCGCGACGATTTCCCTAAAAACGAATAAACATAACATAAATGATTAGAAAGACCTTTTTTAACATAACATTTTGTGCAACATTCTTTCACACTTCTTCATATAAGGGAAGAAAAATGTGTGCCTGTCCTCTTTCCGTGACAAGCGTGCGTGTCATTTTTACGACATTTTAAATCGTGATATTGGATAACAAGCAACGTGACAGTGTCCGTGTCCGCTATGACGGGAAGATATTGGGAAAAGCGTTTAACAGTCTAGTTGAAATCAATTGATCATAGGAATGTAAATTGATTTCTTATAAAACTTCTGTCATGTAGGTTGTTAAAGCATACAAAACGTACATATATCTGTTATTATATTTAATACAGGAAATATTTATATGTTCATTTCTCCTATTGTGAGAATAAAGAAAAAGTGGTTAGTGAGGGTGAGGCAGGGATAGAAACAGACTAAAGGGGGTGGGGAGGAAATAGAGGTGTTTGAAACTCAGTCAAAAGACAAGGACAGAAGATGAACATAGAAAGAGAAGCAAAATAGAACGAGGATGGGGGCGCAGAGACTGGTGGTAATAAAAATGAAAGCTTAAACCAAAAAAAAATATTATCAAATTAGTTTTTTTTGTGTCATCTATCTTAGTATAGTATTAAACTCACTCACTCACTCACTTATGGCATGAATAAAAATGATAACAAAAGTAAACCGGAAAAACTTACGCGGGTATGATGAAAGTACAACATTCAAGTAAAAAGAATTCGGTCCGATTTTTTTATTCAGGTCAACAATCTATATCAATTGATCTTCAGTCAATTTAATGATGTACCAGACAAACGTATTAGACTAAAGTGGGCGTTTTATTACCCTCAGAGATACTAAAAAATGCAAGTTGATAGAAAGCAAGATGTGTTCGTAAAAACATAAATCTCCCAACATATGTTGACGTCAAGTTCATTTGAAGAACTATTTCATGTTCAAATAATTATGTCTATTGAAAAATACTACATGCAGTATATATTTTATATCTTAACTGTAGTAAAAAAAATACTATAACCCATATTTGAACACTTCATATTACGTTTAAAATGCAAGTATACACACGTTCAAATTAAAATAAAATCATTTAAAAACCCAAGGGTCGAATTATTTAGGAATATTTTTTCTTCAGTAAGTCAGTTGTATAGTTAAATAACATTTTAATTTTCAATATTGTCTTAAAACATATTATTACGTAAAGTTCATTTAAGATGAAGGTGCCGGGTTTATCTCTCTATTGACAGTGTAAAAATACTCTATGTTCAACTTTCTTGTTATTACATTTATTAGTGATATTCTTAAAAATACGTGAATTTATAGCGCAATGTTTTTTTCATTAAACGTAACGTCACCATTCTCGTAAAATGTCACGTCCGTTGTTTATATAATTTAGCAAAGCAAAACCTTATCAAAATATTTGTAAACGTAAAGCTGCACTCACATGTACACACGAATATACATGATATACAAGAGAGTCCCAGACGTATCGCCGCAGAAGAGATTGCCCGTGAATCTTTAATGCAAGTTCTTTTAGAAAATTACAATTAAAATGAAATAGATTCGAATATAACTATCTATATCACTCGAAAGGCAATGTTTTAGATTTTTATACCAGAATTATTTTCCATTCTGTCGAGATATTCGGCATTCCTTCTCACACAAAATAATACAAAAAGCCTCTTTTTTGTTCATCATCATCATCATCATCAATAATAATCAACAACAACAACAACATGGGAAGAACAACACCACAGTATCACATTATTATTATTATTATTATTATTATTATTAATTATTATTATTATTATTATTATTATCATTATTCATTATTATTATTATTAAAATAATAATTATTATTATTATTTTTATTATTGGTAATACCTTGGGGCTCCATTTTCATATCTCACATGAGATCCTATCCCATCATTTCCAATCAGTTTGTGCTGTTTGAACAATGTTCCCAGACTTTTGGCATTCTGTACTTTCTGCAAATGTATTTTTTGAAATGTTATCTAATAGTTATATATCTAAAATATATTATAATTAAAGAGAGTGCACTTCTGTCGACAATACAATGCATATTATAAGTAGTTGATTACTTGAGGAGCAAATTTAAAAACTAAAAGACGGGAGATCACTCTAGAGCAATGAAGACAAAAAGACTCGGTCTGATTGTTGCATATTCTACAACAACTCACACGTCCTGAAGCAGCTTAAATATAGTTAATTCGTATCAAATATTTAACACTACAAATAACCCTTACCATCACAACGTAATATATAGATTCAAACGATCTGTTAAAACGTTCAACTGTATCATGCGTTAAAGGTTCAAGCAATGCTTACCCTCCACTTCGATTCAACATTGATTCTGTGTTTCGAAGCATGGCGTAGACATAACTGACTCAGGTTGTTTATAAAAGCACCGTGTCCTCTTTGTTGATCAGCCTTTTTACCCGGAGCATGTATTGGTTGACCTACTTCAGTGGGTATTACCAGAATGACCACCGGGGTCACTTCCTCGTCTGACTGTTTATTGAAACAATACATAAACAAATAAACTTAATAATTATTCATATACTAGTATTACATTTTCATTTCAGTCATAAATACAATTATGAAAATGCAGAAATTAGGCAAAATTTTTAGAGCCCTTCATTTTCGCTCTGGCCAAGAACTGTGATAGCAAATGCAGAGTATACTAAAAAGAAGTATCAAAAAAGATCTCTCAAAAAACAAAGAAATCAGTGAAACGTTTTAGACCACGTTTGCAATGGTTATGAGCTGTGATAAATTAAACAAGAAGAAAAGGTTCTAAGTCAAAGGTGACCAGATCACTAACAAGAAAGGAACCAGCGAAAACAACGTTAGACATTAGATTTGGCAATGAAATAATAACTAATGCAATGAAAGCTCTAAATATGAATTTAAAATTAAAGAAAAGAACATTTTGTTTCGAATTAAAAAATGGACTAAAGCATGCCACACGTTTTGGGCATTGACAATTCCCAATTGCGCATAATAAATTATATACACACGGACAAGATGGGAATTCCAAGCTGCATTATCTTATTTACAAACACCTGGTTTGCTATCATGGAGTAATGTGGTTTTAAATCATTTTTCGTTTTAATTTCTTCTTTCATGTGAACATAGACATGGGTCACAGATGAGGATGCTATTGGCAGGGGCATTACGAATAATTGGTCTAGACATGCCAAAATTGTTACTCGTGCAGATATTGATCTTCGGTCAAGGTTGCAAAAATTAATGAGCTATATAACTGGTAAAAACTCCTGTAATTGATTGTCTGGAAGAAGCTGATGGAAAACAACTTTGTCTTATAGAATAACAAATACCGGAATATCTTCTACTGACCTTGATTGGAATTATCTGTTCTATGTTTCATTAATGAATTTACTATTGATCAATTAGTATGTTCAGAGAAAAGTATAAGTCGAGAAAAACCACACAATCCTATCATCAAGAAGTAGAGACATATATTTAATTAAACTAGAAATGTTTGATGAACAAAAATGTCGTCATTAAATATATTAATAATATACGCGCTACACCGGACTTGCGACCCTATTTTGTTCCAATGGCGACTAAGGACGCTATGGAAATGCCATGGACGCCTAAGGTTCGAGTTGTGAACAACTCGAGTCGTCTTGAGGAATCCATAGCGACTATATTGAACATGCACAAAACAAACAACAATGATGGACGGTTTCAGTGCGTCCTTTACTAGAAAGCCCTAGGGATCTGTTTGATGGATCTGTTTGATTGACATGTAAATGACGACTCTACATCGGCGTTTGCAGTATCAGACGTTCTTAAAACGACTATTGCGGTTTCACGACTTCCTTGCTGTCGCCGCGAGGACACCGCATGAACGCCATAGTCGCAGTGCCTGAGAACTCACGGCATATGAACGTCATGGGAAGCTCTAAGAACGCCGTGTTAACCGGTGGACAGAAACATAATGTATCTCTACCTGAACCCTGATCTATTTATAGTTGCGGATTAAATAGGAGAGCATAAGGTCAGATTACCCTATTATATCATTATATACTTACAATGAGTTCAAGTTTAAACACTGTCCAGGGAACATAGCAAGGACCGTCAAATATCTCATCAGAAAATGGGTTTTTCGCAGAACCTGATCAAATATAAGTTCAAGGTAAATAAAAACATCAGATTCTCATGAATGTCGGCACAATTCGTCATTTTCCGTTTCCAGTAAATCAAATAAGCGTCAAAAGCACCAGAAGGAGAATAATATCATTGTCATTTAAATGCTTTTAAAGTAAAATGAATATGAACACGGAAAGTTACGATTTTGCCGAATGTATACGATTATTTTGACAATTTAATTATATTGACAGGAGAAACAGACTATCAGTCACTGTGATAGTTTCTTAAAAATTCCTTAAAGCTAGAAATATGTAGAAATATACATAGAAAGGCTCAGCTCTAGTTTAAGAGAAAATATCGCGACCCACATTGGTTTCAATTATTTGTATTTATCACAAATTTATCATATTCTCAATTCTAAATTTCTCACATTTCTTCATTACATTTACAAATCCTCAAAACTTACCACTTATCAAAACAACATCTGACATGGACGAGTCAACAATGAACTGTCTGTTGGACGTACTAGCCAGGTAACTGTTCTCTAGCCTCAGCTTTATCTTCTCCTTTGTCCACCCCTTTAATATATATCAACATTATACAGTCTAACCTCTGTACAGCGACTCTCTGCACAGTAATAAACCTCACAACAACAGTTAAAATTGAAGACTTCACAATAAAACCTCTCAGCAAGCTTCTAATTTTTTGTCGCCCCCGAAAAAGGTGTTTCTGTGCGGAAGTTGTATTGTACACAAATACATTGTACTATTAAAACTTTTAACTAATGTTTACCATCACGTTATGGTAATAAAAACCTTCTTAACATTGAGTAATTCAAATTATAACATGCGATTAAACATGCCGAATAGTTGAGTGGCGTTAGAAATATGTCCATTTAGTATGATCGTCGGTAAGAAAGCATACTTCATAAATTTTGGGAATATACCCCCATGTAAAAAGAATATCTTATTGTCAAAGTAGTGCTTTAAACATTTCCGTTGCATTTTTTCTCATGCTTTAGACATTACCGTTACTTTTTGTTACATGCTTTGGATATTTCCGTTACTTTTGATATATACTTTAGACATTTCCGTTATTTTTTTCATACTTTCAAATTCACGTTACTTTGTGTCAGATATTACTAATAAATATTTGCCAACATATATTGACTCTAAAAATAAAATTAACAAATATGCTCACTTGGAAAGCGGACTGTTTCATGAGAATATTTGCAGCAATACGGTTTGCACACACGTGCCATAACCTATATTCGAGAGGTTCGTCACCTTTGTTGAACTTCTGCATGGCGTATTCCATATCCTCCAAGCTTACATATAACAGCTGGAAAGAAATGAAAATAAAAATAATATGAGTTAGCTATCACAAAAATGAGTACATATACTTCCTCTTTATTCAAATAGACAAACAATGTATAAACACCTTAAAACGCAATGTTTTTACACAGTCGGAAGTCAGCGGCCTAGCGGCGATAACTTTACAATGAAACGACACACGTAATGTATCAAAGCTTACGAAACAACACCAAATACCTCGTTTTGTGTTCTTTAGACCTTTAAATGATATAAAAGTACAAACTATTTTTGAATGAACCTTTCTTTTCTATGTTAATACAATAGCATCCAAGCGGGAAAACTGCTTATACAATCAACATTTAACAAAAAGTTGGGAGAAAAAAAATATAAGCTTTAACCATAAACACCATTTTATGTTTATTATAACATTATAAACATTTATTTGTGTTTTTCTTTTAGTAACTACAAGTAACAAACACAGTAGAAACAACAAAATGTACCTACCTGCACAGAGGTTTCGCAAATGACCGTTGCAGACCTATGTTTGTGAGTCAACAACCCCATCTCACCTATAATATTACCGGATGTCATAAAGTCCAGCACATACGTCTTAATTTGTATAGTAGTTCCCGAAGGCTTCTCTTGAAGTGACAGAACAGGTTTCCCCGACGGATTCGAAGATTCTAACTGGAAAAGATACAATAAAAAAACTACAAAAAATGTTCATGTTAACCATTCCGTCGGAAATGATAGTAATAATGATGAAAATTATAATGATGATAATGATAATTATAATAATGATACCAATAAATAAAATGATGATAATTACAATGATGGTAGTGATGATGTTAATAACGCTTATAATAAACTATATGATTAAAACTTTAAGAATAACAATACTCTTGGTTAAGTAGAGTAAATGTTATAAAAAAAGGACATATCTAGGGGCCGTATTAGCAACAACAAACATGCGACAGGACTAAGTTTTACACGTTTCCTATAGTAAGGCAACGTACAATTTATAAGAATACACACGCATTTTAACAGTACACACTACTTACCCTGACCATTCCTGATATTATCACGTAGATACCTCCTGCTGGATCACCCTCCCTCATAATAATGTCATCAAAGTCAAAACTTAGTAACTTTGCTTTTTCCTGAAATGGTAAGATATAGAACATGATAAAAAGTTGACCAGGAACAGTCTGACCAGGATCCATGCTGTTCGCTGTTAGTTTCTCTACTTGTAATAGGACTTGTAAGCGAACATCATGGATCCTGATCAGACTGCGCGGATGCGCAAGCTGGTCTGGATCCATGCTGGTCGCAAACCCATTATGTTGGTTTTGTCATGACGCGGCTCATTATGTATAAGTAGTTAAAAGAAAGGCGTAAACTTAATTAATGATACACATTAAAGAATTATGTTATCCAAGAAGGTGACCTGCAAACAAATTATAAGTAACTAACTATTAATCAGATTGTAATTTCCTTAAAACACCTGTTAAAAAGACTCAAATTCTCAACTGGGTAAGAATGGAAACGACGAATGTCTGCCAATTTGTTACTACACACTACTCATTTTACCTAAGGAGGCAAGCGGTGCCCTTTATACGAAATACATGTATCCAGCAATTATATAAAGAGCTTGTCAACTAACAAAATTTGAGAAGTTTAATTTTAACATGAAAAAACCTTAATATACTCCATCAACTCCTTATCGTTACGTAACCATGACACATTCTTCAACATTTTGTCTGGAGGAGGTATTGGGAGACTTGGCGGTGCTGACTGCAATCTCTTCATACGCTCTTCTACTTTCTATAAATAGAAAAGATGAAAAGAACTGAAAATTATTTTAAAACTTTAACGTATATTGAATTACTAACAAATAGTTTAGAACCTTGATCTAATTAAGCTCATAGTACAAATGACATAAAAACACAAATAAGGCATCTTAACTTGTAACATTTAAAACTTACCTTTTCAAGTTTGTGTCCTTCTGCCTCCTCTAGGATACCATCTGTAAGAAGTTCGTGTATACCATCTCGTAGCTGATTTAGTACACTGCGGATTGCCTGCCGGGTTTTTATAGAGAGGGCGATATCAGGGTGCTGTTTTGACAACATGCCTGTGATAAAATGAGAAAGCATTATACAATTAGAGACGTTATATATTCAGTATTACTGTACTCTTCTTGTCCTTCACTATAGTTGATTCCATTACTTAATTGTGCTGAGGATTGAATAGTAATCAATGTTAAGGGCGTAAGAGATGTTGAACATTCATTTTTTCCTAATAAAACAGACTTAATCAAACCGAGTCTTTAAACGTTTTATTGCTCCCGAGTGATTCCCATTTTTTTCTCGATTATTATCTTGTTTCTCATTTAACTAATAAAATTTACTATTTTATGGTCGACTGCTTGGTTTGCGAATTAGTTAACCATATTGATTGCAAGCATGTGATTAAAAAGTAACTTATCAACTTGATTTTGACATCATAAATATAGTAACTTTTGATATCTCCAAAATATTCCACTTGATAAAACATAGCATGTCTACCTTGTCATTTTTTTTTCTTTTTAGTTAGTTATTTCACTTGTGCTTGCTCCGATTCATTCGCCTCTGATTGTACATAAATAATGAAACCAACAGACCTAGGGAGGCCTGTGAACTGTACCAACGCGACAAAACAACCATTGGCTTAATTGATGATTCGGTACACTAATGTGAAGGAAATCTTCGACATTGACACTTCTGAAGAAATATTTTACTTACCTAGACATCGAATCACGTCCAGTCTACTATTATCACTCATCTGTTTTAGAGATTTTGCAATGTCTTTGTGATCTGACATATGATCTACCAACTTCCGGACCTCCTCCTCGCCGGCAACGAATCCACGACCGACATCGAAACCATAACTCAAATGTTGACTCATACGGGTTTTGACAAACGTCAGTACATATGGCATCGTCGGCTTATTGAAAAATAAATTCATTCACATTTAAAACTGTCTATTGCTTTTGTATTCATGATAGTAATGTTTAGAAAATTTAAACGTCGCTTTTTCGGCATATTAAATACAATGTAACATGTATATCTTATAAGACAAAACATAACTTTTGATGGTTATTTTGTGAGTTTGTTATATGTTTAACGACTGACAAAACGTAGAATTAACTATAGAGTCATGTCCAGGTAGTTATTCTATTGCATTCAATCATTGCAACTGTTATTCAAACACACCAACTGTTACAACAATCGGGAAGTACTTAGAATCTTTTAATAAAAAACTATGGATTTAATTATAAATGTCAATTTGACATTTTGACTAACTTACGGATAGTCAGTGGTCCTACTCAGGTGCCCTTAAAAGGCTTTCTGCTTAAAAAATCAAAGGGGGCCCGAGACTTCCTTACAGAAAAACTCAAGGTCGTATGACCTTTAATAGGTTTTGGTTCCTAAAATTCATTTTAAATAGGCCTTTTTGGAGAGGCCTGAAACTTTTTCGTTTTTAAAATAAAATTTTGCAAGAATGTAAAAAACTTATACCTCTAGGAGCCTCAAAGCTCTGATAGTTCTCAGGATAATAAAGACAAGGGAGACCACATGTACTGATCCGTGTAACTCCCCATATATAGCTGGTAATATAAAGCTCTGAAATACGTCTGCCAAGCCTATCAGAATGATGGCAATACACAGAATATGCCAGGTGTTAGTAAGGTAAGCCTTTTTCTGAACCACAACCTGTAATATAAATTACATTGTTATTGTTTTGCACATTTTTCCAAAGACAATTCAGTAGCCACTACAGAAAAACACAATTAGCTTCGATATTTTAGTTTGATGCTTTCTTATACATGTACATTTTGATATTCTATTTTTTTGTATTGCCAAGAAAAAAGAAACGTTACTTCCCATCAAGGCGGGTGATAATCTTTATTCAATGATAGTGTAATAATATCATCTAACTTAAAGGTAAAAGATTCATGTATAAACTCGAATAAATTGAAAATGAAAAGTCAAAAAAGTAAAGTACTTTGCTGAGACAATTATGAAAAAGTACACTGACAAATATATGGGACATATTATAACTAAGATTATCAAATATTTAAGTAGAACTTTAACTGATCAGATTTGTACTGTTTTATACTTCAGCTAATTCAATTGAGACCGGGTGACAGTGAATAAGTTAACACTCTTTAAGAAACTCAACCATATTGCAATAATTATATCAACAACTTTGTTGGTGTTATTAAAAAAGAGAATTTTAACTTACTTTAAGCAGTAACTCGACAATGTACAAAATTACACAGACAAGGTTGATACTCCTGAAGACGTTTTTCTGATCGAAGAAGTGTTCGTGATACTCACTGGTGATTGCAAAAGCAGTGTTGATCATGTCAATAATGATTATAGTGTAAACAACGATATAGAAGGCCTTGTGTCGCTCCATACGGAATAGAGGCCACAGCTTAGAGTCTTTGTCAATATCTACTTCAGTTTTTGCTATTCCTCTCTTTACCATCCTTTTCTAAATTGACAAATATGGGTTTTTTTAAAGATTTTTTTTTCCCACATCATAAAACGATACATGTAAATGAATATCTAAAGTGAAAATTTCTTATATTGTATGGTAATTAATTAATGCTGTTCTGTTAGGTATTATAGTTATATGCGTGTATAATTTACACACAGGTAAAGCGCTGAGATTGGAATTCGTCACCTACATTTAAATAATTGTGCAAATTAGTAAACTCTGATATTCAAACGCTTAGAGAAAAAGAAAGAAAGAAATAAAAAGGTAAACATTTTGCAAGTAATAGAAGTAAATTGACTCATCCTGTTGTTTCAGTTATGTATCCTATCTTTTATGAAACTATCTTATTGGTTTCAGTTCTGTTCGTCTTTTTTTATCAGTATTTGGCTGCGTTGTGACAAAACATATCTCATTTAGTTTGTTGCGTTTTCAACAAAAATATAATATATTTATTTGGTTACGTTCTGACCAATCATGAAAAAGTGTGTTACCAATTTAGGATAAACGGATGGTATTTCCCAACTTTTCTTAACGTCTTCGATATCGATGAATCTGAAAATAAATACCAACAAGTCCAGTAACACTGCATTGCTTGTAATATGTTCGTGCAAGATTCGTCTTCCTTTATTCAAATGAGTGTTTTTATCGCTAAACGGTAGATATTTGAGTAAACATTTTCATAAGAGATTCGTATGATGACCTGATTGTATTGTTGTTTTTTTTTTTAATCTTTATTGAAACCTCATTTAAATTACCTAGTCTATATATAACTCGTTTTACTGTGCCATATACATCTTTATTCCTCGACTTATAACATGCTTTGTTTTAACATGTTAAAAGTGAACATTTATACTTATAAACAATATGTTTGGTAACCATTACTAATATCATATGAAAAGTATAAACGCAGTAGAGGATTCAACAAAAGAACTCTCCAATTTGATAAAATAAATGAGCCGCGTCACGACAAAACCAACATAATGGGTTTGCATCCGCGCAGTCTGATCAGGATCCATGCTGTTCACTTTCAGTTCTCCACTTGTAATAGAGTTGGTAAGCGAACAGCATGGATCCTGATCAGACTGCGCGGATGCGCAGGCTGGTCTGGATCCATGCTGGTCGCAAACGCATTATGTTGGTTTTGTCGTGACACGGCTCAAATGTTATCTGAATCAAGTGACACATACTTTCCTTTGTGGTCAGAAGCTATTTCTGTACACTCTTGAAGTTTTCTTGTTGCATCTCTTGACAACATTCCATGTTCGAACTGTCGCCAGTAACTCATCTATAATGGAAAATACATTACCATACTTGTTAAGAGAGTCACATCTTTTTTTCTTACTATTATTTGGTGATTTTCAAAGGTTTAAAAATCTTTTGTAGATAGTTGGAAATTATCAAAATATCAGTATATGAGCTTTAATTACATTATGTTATTATATCAGCATGTTATTTAGCATATTCTAATTTGGGTTTCAAGTATGTATGGTATCATATCAGAATGATAACATTAATTACACAGTCAATAGATATGTTGATATATATTTTTATTTCTAGATTACGTTACATTTACTGACAGGAAATAAAATACAGCGTTTAAATTGTCCCTATATTTATATAACAAAGGCTGTTTATGTGAATAGCAAGTGACATAAAATGTTTGTTGAACGTTATAAAGTTATTTTTTGCTTTAAAGTGTTGCCTTTTCTAAACTGTATGGTAAATAATTATTACTCTTTTGATGTCATTTCATAAAATACTATTAAATGAATTTTATTTCATTTGACAATATTCCACAAGCGTCAAAGCAATAATACTGATTTGTTTTTTCGTGCCAAAGTGATTCGGTTCTATGTAAAGGTTTGACGCCTTTATGGAGATCAGAGCCTTGTTAAAATATAAAATTCTAGTATAATACCAGAGTGAAATGTATGTAAAATAAAAACCTGTATTTAATTACCTTTTCAGCCTTCAACATTCGCAGAATTGCCTCATTAGTCATATCTCGGAGCTCTTTACGAGAATATTGAGGTGGTAGCTGCGCCTCACACTCCGAACAGCACGTGTTCTGTTTGATATCAAGAGAGTCCTCGACCTGTGCCTGAAAATATATGCTCATTTAATTATAGTAACATATAAATATTCTCAGTTAATTATATCTTTTTACTCATTTTATTAAAATAACAGATAAGCATTATCATAACATTATAATATACTTAATAATTATATAGGTATTTAACTCATTTAATTATTATAACTTACAAATATTCTCATTTGATTAAAATATGCTCATTTAAGTTTACTGATATTATACACATTTGATCATAAAAAAATATAGTTAACACTCATTTTAGTTTACTAAAAATAATCTAATTTAGTTAGTTACATATAAATACACATATATTCCATTACAAACACATATAGCTATTATCATTAAAAATACTTATTATTAAAATAATATATAGATGTTAATGTTTAACGGAAATAATGAAATAATCATGATTTTGTTACAGTAGAGTATTATTTTCCCCTTTGATATATCAGTTAACACGATACAAGTTAAGTATAAGGTATTTCCCTTTCTGCTTAAATTGTGTTTTCATTACCCTTCTCCTGCTGAACTTATGTAATTGATTTTCCCTGGTTTGAATCTGGTTTGAATCTAGACTTGTCCATTCAAAGTTAAGGGGATTTTAATATCAAAATACAAAAATTGACCTTCCAGCAGTAAAGAGCCTTAACTAACTCTGTACTTGTGGAAAAGCTTATAATTTTGTGTTCCGGCAGGGTAAAGTACGGATTATTAGACAATGAGCTAATTAATGTCTGGCTCTAATATGCAATAAAATTAACAAAACAAAAAAATGCAAAGTTTTTCATAAAAGTTTATTGTAAAGAAAAAATCATATGAAGTAGACGTGCAAGTACTTGTATATCGCATTCAAAGAAACAAATATTGATAATGGCTTGGCAGTTCTAAAAGTTGTTTGCCGTCTTTTGCTACAAACATTTAATATCAACATGTACTATTAGGAAAAGCTAACTTATTCTATATCTTACACACTAATTACTGCCCATTAGGTCACAAATCTTTCTTATTTTTTTTTAATTTCTAAAAAGCTTTTAATTTGAGAGGTACTAAAACAGTTCCGAAAAAATGTCTGATAACTCTTATAAACGAAACAACCATTCTTTGATTTGCATTTTTTAGCATTAGAACCCTTCTAAAAGAAGAAAAACTGTATTCATTTCTGAAGTTAAATGTGCCTTTAACAAAACGTTCTAAAGTGATAATGATGTTTGTTATGCCTGGCAACAAATTTGATAAAACTGAACCAATACGTGATTAAAGCAATTGATATTTTAAACTCATTGCCTAGCAACGTGAATAATATACAGTATAGAAATAGAGTAAGTGGTCCCAATGTAGCATGCCAAGTATACATTAAATAAAAAAAGCGGTCACCCAGCAACGTGACGTGCAAAGTTAAAAGAGTAAGTGGTTACTTCACAACGTAATAAAAAGTAATTGGAACTAACCATAATTTATTTATAAATAATAAACATAGTCTAAAAGTCAGGGAGCGTCCTGATATAAAGGTCAATTATCATCTACTGATACTGAATGCATCAAGGTCTGTGAAAAGTTATTTCATATTAGAGGCTTCTCCTAATACTGGAAGCCGGAAATATATTTCTTAATCATAAAATAAATTATCGTCCAATACAGCCTTGAATAGTTGTTAATGGACATCAAGAAAATTAGAGGAAAGTAAGGTCAATGAAGAAGAAAAAAAGAACCCCTAAAGAATATCAAAAACGGCACAAATGAAAATATTGCAGACTCTGTTTAATTATGTCTATCAATGGACTTGAAAGTGCAAACTGTGTCTAGCCTTTGTCATTTTGTTACATTTATCTAGGCTTCAAGTAATGATTGGCGTCACGTGACTAATATTTCACAGCGCCCAACTTGTTTTAATTTGCTTAATTTTTGATTGAGGGTATTAATCAACATGCAGAGGAATAAAACCTATCAATTGTATGTTTGTTTATTTTAAACAAACAAATTCATGTATAGTTAAGATGGTTCGACGATATGCATATTTAATTTAGGCTTTCACTTACATATGAAAGACATATAGAATTTTTATGGCGAATAGAATAAAAAGTCCAAAAAGTCTTACTTGTTTCTATGTAAATGATCGTTACAAGAACGAAATAAAGAAACAACAAACTTTACTTATCTTTTGAAGAATAATTTCGGATCATTCTTGGAATTTTCCTCTCGAGTTAAAGGTACGGATATTGTTCGTTTTGAGAACCTTCAATATAGATATACCAAATGATGTTTTATTTCGTGATATGGCCAATATTCAGTGAACAAGATAGAAATGTTAAAAGCTCGATCGTTTTGTAATCGGGTCATACCATTTGAATGACAATTCATACATAACCATGCGGGAACCAAAAGCAATTTGCCTTTGCCACCAATAAAGAGTAAAGCCAGCTTGCACATCCTTGCTTTTTGACCATGCCCTGTATTGAACTCTATTAGTAATATTGAAATATTTTCAACTTCGAATAAATTGCTTCGAATGTAAAACAAACAGATGAAATTAATAACAAAAGTTCATAAGGATAGGGTTAAGAGTGGATATGGCTGGTATTGATTGTAAGAAGAATGCTTGACAGCACTGTATCTTAAATCCATCATCTGTCTGTTAAATTCAGAGACACGCACGTGATAAAGATCGCCTGTCAAATAATTTCAAGTTATCAAATGACAAAATTCAAGGCTTAGACAAAGTGATTATTTAAATGCAATTACGTCCTAAAATATCGTATAAAATATGTATTTTTGAGAATGTCAAAGTTCTTCTTGGAATAATATCGTCATATGTTTTGTTTCACCACACGCATGTCAGTTCTAACAATTTGGAGAAGTATCTGCACGAGATTTGTCCGCAAACAAAATTGCTCACATAAAACACAAACTAGAAAACAAATGTGAAAACCCCGGAAGCATGTTTTCCAATTTGAATGATGTTATTTAATCGAGGAACACAAACTATTGTTAACATTGATGGTTGATTGCCAGTGTAGCATTGACTTAAACTGTAACTTGACAAAACTTTGAGGACAATGATCTTTAATTTTTAACATCACAGCTCTTTATCATGACCGAATCAGCATCAGGGTCTGAAATTTCGCTACCATTATTTGTTTGGTCTGACGACCCAAACAAATAAAAACGAATAAATTTCTTTGTTTACCTCTAAAATTATAGTTTTTTGTCACTGATTGCAAAACTCCTCAATGTAAAAAGCTTAGGTTTGGTTTGGTTTAGGTGGCATTATATGCGTAGTGATTAAAATAGCAGAAATGTCATTCCATGTGAATAGCTCAGTATATCGTTAGTATTTATTATTAATTATATTACTTTGAAAATATGTCATTTATTTTTTCATATAAATACGTGTCAAATTAAACGTTTTTTTAACAGTGCATATTACTTATCAAAAGAGTAAGTTGCAGAGGAATATGATGAAAACTAAGCATTTCTTTTTACTTCTTAAACATAAAAGCCGTTTTAGTTCTATGAATGCAGTATGTATCTAGTGCTTTATTTCAGAGTTCAGACAATATTGTTTCATAGTTAATATCCTAGCCGATATAAATGACATGATGATGTTCTTATAATTTGACATAAAATGTATTGTAGCTTTCAAAATAACAAGTTCGTTCTTGTAATAGTACTTTAATGTCTTTAGTTTCAACACGCAATTGTTGAATCGATCTTTGTATTACTTTAGAGAAATATTGTCTTGGGTTGCTCCTGTATTGTCTTAGAAATCAAAGTATGTTCGAAGAGAAATATAAAATAATGTCATTCCTTCACAATTGAATTTCATTAACCTCATGGCAAGCTGTATCTTTCCAACTGTACTGTACTGTCAAGCTCACTTTTCTATCGTAATATGGTAAAATGTAGGAAAACTGACGACACCAATACATTGACTATAACCCCACTCTTTAAAGTTACATAAGTTTAACCGAAAATGATCTAGCTTTTAATCAGCAATGCATTTCTTTAGACAGAATATTACCTAATTAAATCTTCTCTTTTTATGGAATAACATGCTTCATAACAATTTTTTAGTTTCAATGGCGAAATGTTATTTATCACGCTAAATACCTTAAATGAACTTGTCGATCTTTCAATTTGGAGAAAACCGTTTAACATTTCAAGTGAAAATTTCAAAAATTTCAAAATATGCAGTCATTTAATAGCAAACAGATGTGACCATAAACTGATATGCCTGGTTATCTTGATCTGCACTGGGTAAAACTAGTTGCGACAAGCAAGCATAAGTTTTCACCGTGCATTCAGGTATTTTTGTGCGTAAAAAGTTGTAAAAAAAATGAACATGGGTATTTAATTTCAGAATAAAACAAGAACTGTCACTGAAAAGTGACTTATGCCCCCGAAAAGAAGCTTTGACATAAAATTCGCAATATATGCCAAAATACCAGTAATATAAACTCAACACATTCCTAAAATTTCATTGTGTGGAGAAATAGTCTAAACAAATTTTACTTAAAGAATTAGTTACTATTTTTAGCTCTGGCCGTCATTTTATGCAGCGGAGTTGAACGGTCGATGATATGTACTAGGGAAGATACTGATCACTTCTGTGAAGTTTCATTGAAATCCCACATGCAGTTTGATCTGTAAAAGCTGGAAGCTCTGGCGGCCATTTTGTGCAGTCAAGCGGAACGTGTGGGCGATATGCACAACTAAGGATTGTACTGATCACTCCTGTGAAGTTTCATTGAAATCCCGCCAGCAGTTTGACCTGTGAAAGCCCGACAATATTTTTCTATTTATAGCTCTGGCTGATATTTTGAGCAGCGGAGCGAAACGTGCCGGCGATATGCCCCAACTAGGGATGATATTGATCACTCCTGTGAAGTTTCACTGAAATTCCCGAGCGGTTTTGGAGATGAAGCGTGGGCAAGATTTTTCTATTTATAGCTATTGTGGCCAATTTGTGCAGCGGAGCGGAACGTGCAGGCGATATGCACAACTAGGGATGGTACTGATCACTCCCGTTAAGTTTCACTGAATTCCCCCAGCGGTTTTGGAGATGAAGCGCGGACAAGATTACCGGACGGACGGACAGAAGGACGGATGGACAGTGCGATTATTATCTTAGAGGGCATAAAAGTTTATAGTTTCCTTATTCAGTCGAGTCTTTACCATATTGATGTACTATGCAGCATTAGCATACTAACACTTTTCAAAGTACATCTTAACTTAAATGATTAAAATACAGTCTCTTGTCAATATTAAACTATACAAATGCTGTCTAGACACGGCTTTTGCCAATTATTTCACCCTTAAGGCAATGTTAAAATTATTTTCCGTAGAGGGTATCAAAGTAATTAACAATTACGGGAAAATAACAACTAAATGACCTGGAAGTAAAATCAGACGCTTTAAAAGTGTTTTCTTTTTAATTCAATCGAATATTTCAGGATCAGAAACTTTTATAATTGATTCTTTATAACATAAATACGAAAACTAAACTATATTAGGAGGGTACTTTTCGGGCATTTTTTAGGTTTTCAATGCAAACAAGTTGGCAAAAAGAGTATCATTAAAATCATTTAATATTTCGCCTTCTTCGTTAATTTAATGAGCCACCAGGGAACTAAGACTGGAAAAGGGACAGTGAAAGTTAAAATTATCCCAATTTGTTGAATGTTATTCTGTACAAACAGGAACGGCTTTATTTCTACTATCGTCTGCTTAAGAACGAATCGCTGTCAATTCAATACTATCTTATTTTATAAATTGCCAATCACGTGATTTAACACAGATTCTTGAAATATTTAACGCTAAATTAAACACTATTTTCATTGATTTATCACAATTATCTGTATATCAAGGTTTAAATAACTTGATCAAGAAGTATATTCTTCATAGAAAATCACAATATGTTTTGTCAGTGACCTATTGAAAAGGGTCAGAAATAGAACAACAAAAAACTCAGTAGGCGTTGTTTCAATTAAGCTTATCTAACTGATTGATATATAATTCCCGTACTGACTTTGAAAAAGAACTACTTTTCAGTTGTATGTCATTTCATTTTAGCTATATTTCTCGACAGTTTAGCTATGTGTTATTTGATGTGATTAAATTTATCAGAAATATTCTGGATGAAGATTAATGTGATGGCAGAATATAGACACAGAAACCTGCCAAGGGTTAAAAGAAAAGGCATATGAAGCCAACCTGTGTATTCAAATAATTAGGTTGAATCCTGGAACCAACCAGTACTGTCGAAATTTAAGCAAAAGATAGTATCATTAAAATCACGGTTGTCACCCTAAGTTCTCGAATCCACGACCTATGTTTCTAAAAACAGACATACATTATATTTATTAAACCATAAGGTAGCGTGTCCAGTTAAACTGTACTTACGCTGTGTAAATTGTTGCATATATAAATGACGTTCAAGACGTTTATAATTCTAATTTGATAAGGAACAAATTTTAAGAAATAAACTAATCATAAAATGCAATGACAAAGCCAACTGACATTCTTTTATAATTGTTGCTGATATTCTCAGAAAAAGAAACACACCAAAAGCCGCAAATTAAAGCCATTTCTTTACATTATTTTAAAGTGTATAAAACTATATATTTGATGCAAAAGAAAAATTGTTTAGATTTTATAAAAGAATACATTTTTCGATATCATTGCTAAAAAAGTTAAAATACTGCTTAAAATAGCAGCATACGAACATTTATTTCTGTTTACAAACAATTTTCATTTGTGGTAAATAACAGAGGCTTTTTGTGTTACAACACTTTCGAGAACAGACCAAAAAATTATGGGAACAATAAAAATATAATGTTGATGAATTTATTTAAATATTTCATAAGACACAGCTTTGTACCCTTTAAATCTTTGAAAGATACTGCTTATTTAACTGATCAAATGTAGTGTCAATGTTTGGATATAAAACACTTTATCACCTCGCAAAACAAACATTTATCTTAGAAAAATTCAATATACACATCCGAGTATTTTTGTCATTCCATGTATCACAATTATTTACAAAAAACATTTGAAAGCAACCGAGTAAATCAATTTGTAGGATTCGCAAACTAAAGACTGAAAATTCTTCTCTGAAAATTGAAGCATTTTTTGTAAACGACATATTCAGGATGATAAGGAAAAAAACACTTCTTTAAATTACTGTTTCAATAAGGCTTTATCTAATTGATTGATGGACGATGTGACGTCTTGAGCAACATAAAAGACATTATTCAAACTAGTTTTTTTTGTATGTGAAGGTTAAAGGAATGGTATGCACGTAACAAATGCATTCTCTAAAGCTATAAAACTCGTTGAAAAATTGCACAGAAATGACTTTAGTTCATATTATCCAAGATAATTCGTTGTCAATTTATTCAAAGAGCCGAAAAATATATGTACTGCAGTATATAAAAAATATTGGGCACGTTTGCATGTAATCGAAATATCTGTGTCAGTAGAGATACATGCATTTGACTAGGAAACAACTCCAAAATACAGTGAGTCTAGTGTGCTTTCTTTTGTAAGATAAATGATTCCAAGAATTGTGTTTCAATTTTATAAAATGTTTATAAAACAATACAAATGAATAAAGATTCTTAAAACTGTACTAAATATACAAAATATATGTTTTATATAAATTCCTTATAGCTAATTTGCTGGTTTTATCTGCTTTTATTGACATACATATTTAATTCTGAAAACATGTTTTAGGCAGCAAACCCATATCTGTTAGTGGGTCAACTTGGTAGACAACTTTTATCTGTAAGGAACTATCTTAAACTATGTATTAGACTGAGAATTATGAAAATCAATTTTTTTTATATCATGCATTGAGATCTTATTGGATAGCAATATTAATAGCTGTTTTGTCTGCTAAAATTTTATCATTGATCAATTTTGGTTTAGCCATGTACGACTATCATTTTTTCCAGGATGTCAAAACGTGTGTACGATTTATACAAAATGCAACATTTCTTTAAAATTACTAAAATCTAACAACAGGAGAAACAGACCATGAATGGCAATAAAAATTTATAGGTTAGTAATATATATCTAATCTATATGTTACATGTATAGGGAAATGTACCACTTTTAATATTATAAATGCAAATTAACAGTAAGATTATTTGTTTGTGATTCCACAATAACTATTTTTAATAGGTATATAATACACTAAATGTTTATTGTGAACAATAAAATTGGCAGTTTAAGGGCAACATGTTTAGTCTGCCAGATATTAATTGCAGAGGGCTCGGCAAAAATCGTATTTTTTGCAGCGAACATAACTTTTCGAAGAACATGTGACAATCTGAGCATACTTGATACTTTTGCAGCTTAACGTCTTTTGATACTGAATAAACCTTTCAATTAATTATTGATAATGTCGGTTTTGAAACTATATTGCTTCTGAAAAGGAGGAGGAGAGTCCATAGAGAGCAATAATAACAAACCTAACATGTCCTCCTGTTAAACCAGAAGGGAACTAGAAACAGAAACTAGTGAAAATCACAGATTTAGCTTTATCGAGCCTGTCCAATGGAAAATATAACATCTCTCAAGCTCCCCTCCTAAACACCAGCTCTAGTGGGTAATCAATAATCAACAGTACTAGCATTAGAATCAATTATCCCGAAGGACAAGAACAACAGGGTGATGTAAAACATGACAATTTTTATGCTTAATTTCACAACATCAGCGGGGAAAGAGTTAAAAGCAGTGACAGATTAGATTATCTAATTCTATAAGCTGGTCCTACATTTAACTTACCATTTCTTCTTCAAACTGAAACCATTCAATATTATCTACAGAAACGTTACTAGTGAAAAGATATAATGGAAAACACTGATGGGAAAATTTGCAAAATGAGATATTTCAATTTCCATATTGGTAATGGCGTATGATAGATACTCTGACAATGGTGATGATAACTGCCTCAATTTAACGGAGAAGGGGAACATTAAACTTCTAGTATTACAAAGATAATTCAGTGTTTTTCAGTATAATTCTACAATTAGCACCTATTATAGTAGACGTTGTATCACATTACCCCTGTACAATTAAGGCTAATAAAAGCTTAATAATGATAATCTCACATGACACATTATATATCATAAAGGGAATACTTCATATACATATTTGTGTGAACCGGTGGCATTATTTACTGTAAGCTAGCAAGATAATGTTTTCTGACGAGATCAGAAAGAGTGATTCAAATATAACCACCGTAACTAATTGCTTTAAATGTCGTGATTAAGAATTTATATAAGCAATTTGAATAGCTAACAAAATTATCGTTTGTTATATACTATGACAACATTTGGATCACCTTAAAAGTGTCATTATATCATGATCGGATTTAGCTTTTTTACTTTTAGAATGTAATAACTTTGGGGGAGCAATGATAAACCTGATATATCAAAAGGTAATAGACGATTTTATTCCAAGTAAAAATCTCTGTATGAAATAGATTAGGGAAAGGTCGAAAACGACAAGAATTAAAATCGTGCCAAGATCGGCATGAATGCGCTTGTACAATTACAATGGTATTTAAGAAATACACACTAAATTGTGAAGATGTCAAAGCCATGCTAAAATTTGAATGACCAACTCAAGGCCATATTGCAGGAGACTATACTATCATGAATTAATAGAAAAAAACAAGACTGTTCATGCAATTTATATGCACACTTGATTTAACACAAAACAAACAAAAACACACGCACATGCTCCAAAAGCAAAAATTAAAATTTTGCTAATAACGAAATTTGTAGTGTCAATGCTGACATGCAATCAACATTATGTAATATTAACAATGCATACCTCTTCATCGCTTGTCTTGTAGGGATCCACTACTTCTGTCTGTTTCTCAACAGTTTCCCATTCAGCATCAGCTAAAAATCTTTTAAAAAATAAAAAATACCATCTTTTGCTTTTGCAATGAGTAAATTTTAGTTTTTTTTAAGTATTTCGTATGGAAGCCTGCTACGCTTTAGGTTATTTCACACTCAACTCGGCCTTCACCACGAGGTACGCTAAATCTATTATCATAGCATTATAAAGTACTGGTCGGCATTTAATTCAGAGTAAAAAATCGTATCAGACTGAATGCTTTTTTTATTATCAAGTTAACCATTGTGATTTTAATTTGCTGGTGAGATCAAACTGAGCGTACAAGTATTTAACATGATGAAGATATTAGTTTACCTGTCCGTTTTTAACATATTCAATGTTTTCTCCCGAAGATCCTGTAAGTGTCGAAGAGCATTAGCCATAGCCATACGTTTGGCCGGAGACAAATCACTCATACCTAGACGAGATTAAATAATTAGAAATTTATATTATGAGTATGTCAAAAAATTATCTTAAAAAAATATAGTTCAAAGAAACTACCTCCCATATTACCACTTGGAGAAGTACGGTATTAGCTGAGCTAAACGGTCTGACTTTCAATGAGAGAGGTTTTGTGCCAGACAGAACCTGATGAGAAACACTAGTAATGGTCCTATGCCAAGAGGTAAGTAAATGGAGAGGACTAGGTAATTAATTACCGATATTTTAAAGTACAAAATTCTTTTTCTTTGGTGGTATTGATATACTTCTAAGTATTGTTCGTTTCATTCATGCATATAATACTGTAATTCATTGTTCTTTCCCTTTTAAAGATATTTTTGCAATTATTATTGAAAACGATTTCTGCTGTATGTACGGTTTCAAGTATGTTTAGATTAGAATCACCATGAACGTGATTAATCACATGAAGAATTTGCACTTCCTAATAAGTATTTTGAAGCCATCGTATATTATTTTACAATCAACTGCTCATGTCATTTTCACTAATTTCAGTGAATCTGGCAATGTGATTTAAGGTTCATTAAAATATAAACAATACAATAAAACCTTATTTAAAACTCATCCCTAAAATCCAAATTGAAGAAATTCTATATAAACCAGTTAAGCTGATTTGATAAAAATCCCCAGACATGCAAACGAAACTTCATCATTTTTCACAGACAAGCAAGACATCTCATTTCCTATAGACAAGATAGATGCATTGGAAATATTGTAATTTGCAGATCGGAAATTACATTTATGCTCATACGACCGGGTTACATAAAGCAAGCAGTTGAATAGGTTACATTGAGATACTCAATAATTTGAGTAGAAACTATGAAAATTAAAACTATCACGAACGGTCTGTAGATCGTTGACTTGATAATCGGAAAGCTGTCAATTGATATGCAAAGCGCTGTTGATTAATTGACATCCAGCACTCTTGATATACATTAAGTGAGATTAACTCAGATAGTTCTGATTTTAAAATATCAAACTCATTTATATCAACGACCCGTAAAATTGAGATGAGAAAACATAAAATCAAAATAAACAGAATAGAATTGATCAAAGCATGAATCTAGTAACCGGATGCCCCATTGGTGAGCTTGTCATAAATTGCTTTCCAGCGGATAATACGAGCTTTCTGCAATAAAAGGCTTTCATCATTGAAAGAAAGAATTATAGACACGTTTCTCGATCCACGAATTTACAAACGTTAATTGCTTAAAATATCCGTAAAAAGCAAATTATCCAATGTTTGTCATACTTTGATATACATTTGATTTTGTAAATCTCTAAATGTTCCAAAGGTATCAAAGAGGTTTTGTTGTCCATACTTTTAGTAAACTATTACTAGCTTATTTATTATAAAACGTGTGCATAAACTTATTTTTCAATGCAAAATGAATATTTTAGTAATATCTCCAATTCATTTATTCAATAAATTCCTTAAACCCATTTTTATAGCGATTTAGAGCAACAAGAACAAGTCTTAAGTTACGAGTTATTCACAGTGTCTTTTTATCACCATGTGATGTAATAAAATATACTTGATAGATAGATAGATAAATAAATATATAAACAAACAAATACATAAATGTATAATTAAACAAAAGTCAATAAATTCACGTCATGTAAGTTATAAGAGATAATAAACTTTTTCGTAATAAAGTGAAATCTTTAGGATTAAAACAATTGATGCTTTGAGCTACTAACCTAAAACTTCTAGTAGTCCATATATAGTTGTAGCATTCACGAGTAATGTTAGAAAGACAACACCAGAAACATGGATCAAAACCTGAAAAATATCAACAGATAAACTGCAGAACATACACGAAAAAAAAAACACACTGATTGATTTATTTAATTATCATTAATTTCATCACAATATTATTAGCTTATTTTATCATAAAACGTATGTATTATCTTATATTTCGATTTAAAATAAATGTTATTTGCAATATCTACAATGCATTTATTCAATAAATTCTTTAAACCAATTATTGTATATCTACTAAGAGCAACAAGTACAATTTCTTATAAAATCAAAAAAATATTTTCAATTCTAAGCCAAGTACTACAAACATATTCATATATGATCAGATATTTTGTTACTTTAAACAGTAAGTCAAAACTTTTGAAGCAAATCTCTGTGTCAGAACTGTATGAACCGAAACTGTTTAAATATTGTTCAAGTGTGGAACATTTTAAGCTTTTAAATTGCACTTAATACATTTAATCTGTGTTTGAATTATTGATATAAAAGATAATACTTTTTAGAATTAATTCTACACATGACACAGATATGCTGTGTACATTTGTTCCTCATATCTCCATGTGTTATCTTGTCCTTTGACCTACATACTTGCTCGTGATGATGAGCATACGTAAAATAGAAGTAATACTAAATAGGAGATGTGCTCGCTAACAATGGTACTTTAAAATGTTCATTATAGTATTGTCACTTCATGAGTCAGAACTATCGAATACCTTTCGTATATTTAATAACTGAAATCATATGATAACATAAACCCGTGTAAGTGGCATGCCCATTGTACTTTGTTTTCTGTATTCGTCATATATCAGATGCTTTAATTTTCATCTACGATAAGAAACATGTTAAATGTAGGTTTCTTGCTTATTATTTGTACTTTCTGGAAGAGCATTTTTTTTTTTTGGTTGGGTTTGATGTTTTTTTATGTTTAAATAAAACTTGTAAACGTTTTTGGTCAAAGTAATCAGACAAATGGGAAACTTCTAAGTATTTCAGTATTTTCCTGTCTCAAAAAAGCAGACGACAGTTATCCACATGATGTGATTAATGGCTAATGTCCATCCTTACATAACAAAAAAAATAGATCCGAGTTAATCTACTAGAAAGGAATAGTCTGTCTTAAAAATGAACTAATGGCTAAATGAATGGTTTGTAAGTGTCTTTTGATAGCAGCATTAAAACTGAAGGAATCCCTTCCTTCTTCTAATTCTTGATGGGACCAGTGAAACAATCCATTTAGCATAATAGCTGTTACATAATGTTAAAAAAGAAACATTTAAGATTACCGAGAAGACAAATTTACTCTATTGCAGACAATGTAGTAATACCATAATGTATTAATTGGGAACTGGGAAATAACCATCAAAGCCTCATAAAGTAAACATAATGCACAAAGGTTTAAAATATTTCTGACGGTTACCGTGTTTTCTTAGTTAAGCATTATTCGCTTAACTGGTTGGCAAAAGTTGGCTGATTTTAGTTATTTTCTACTTATAATTTTTATTCAATTTTTGTCTGTCTTTTAGTTCTCTTCATTTTCAGCTGAAGAATCAGATCTTGTTTTAAACATTTTTGTCATCAAATGAGTATTATCTATTCTGGCTTTCTTTCTTCTCCATACGACAGAGATTAGATAAATTAAGTAGGATACGGTAAAAAAAATGTGCACTTATTGCACTAATGGAGGAAAAAAGCCCCAGAATATTGCAGAATTGTATAACGAAAGTCTTTGGTCCGTGTCTTGTTCTGGCTGCATAATTTGTCTCATCCTGTGGAATTTTACGCCCAAATAATACAACTTTCACTGTTACCATAATATGTGTCAATGTAAAAGGTTGTTCACAAAAGAGGGGGGAATGTGTAAGTGACCGTGCACTTCGTCTGGTAGACATTATGAACGCTGATCTGAATTCAAGTTAAAGCCAACACTTTACATTTGTGTCAAACATGACAGGTAAATGAATACAGCTTGTTTACTGAAAACTTAAATTCGATGATTGTTTTGAAAACAATAAGTAACAACAGTGAGCTCACGTCAGTAAATATTCAACAATTGTATAAATGGACCTTTTTAAGCTCTTCAACACTCTATTATACGAAAATCGGTAATTGAATGATTTTACACGAATGAAGAATGGAAATTGTATTAGGTTTAAGAAGATAACATACTTTAAAACTTGTCCTGCATTTTATTACTGGATTAGTGTGAAAGCCTTCAATCTTGGGAATTAGAATTTGAATTAAAACGGCAATTAAATGAAGCGAATCAGACATAAAGTGATTCTTTAATGCAAGGATCCGAAACTCTAGAGAATTTTTATTCTTGAAAAGAAATAACAGGGAAATGGGTAAAAATCACTGAAATTGGATGTTACAAAATATTTTAATGAATATTGATTTTTAAAGTGCAATATGGCTCTGTTCCGGAATGTGTCAGTAATTAAGTTTCGCTCATTTTATTTCCTGTCATTATCACGGACAGGTTTGTAACTGCTAATTGTAAAATATAATGGCGTTAAATTTACAAACATTTGAATTTATTTGTGTTTCCAAACAGGGCATGAATTGAACATTTTTACATTTCGAATGAACGTAGATTTTCTACAATTAATTCAGTTGAAAGAAATACATTTTGGCTCAAATGTTAATAAAACTCTAAAGTACTTTTTGTATCTTTATCATTTGCTTATATTTTTGTCGTATTTAAAAAAACATAATTGCAATACTTTTAAGGTCCAGGCTCCGGTTTAGTAAGACATTCACCATAAGATATAAGATGCCTTAATAAGATTTTCAGTCAGGAAACAGACTTTCCATATACCTTTTATTAATATCCCGACTGAGGCCAAACTTTTTTCTTTCTTTTTTCAAAAAGTTTTTTTCTCTTAATTTTTCAATTGATATTTTGCTGTCAAAACTTAAACATCCAGATTGACTTATAAAATACGGTAGAATGAACAAAAAACTTACCCTGTTTCCTACAGTCTCTTGGTCTATCCGGTCATGATGAGCAACTTGTAATGCAAGGGCCAATCCTACAGCTCCTCTTAACCCTCCCCACGTCATAACAGTACCCTCTCTCCATGTTAAACCATACCCTGTGTGCTTCAATATTGGGCTAAACAAGGCTATAACAAAACCTCTGAAAAAATATATTGCATGCATAAAATATCCAATGTCTTCTAGATCATTGAAGATATGAGAATGGTAATTCACATTAAAAGGGAGACAGCATAATATATATTTTTGTTTAATAAATATATATAATTGATATATATTTTGAGTGTGTTGCTTTAGAATAATGCAAAATTTGAGTTTAAAGGCGTAAGAATATAATGATTAATTACAAAATTACAAAGTATTTCAACAATTTACCGTGCATCATTATACTACAACGCAAAAAAAAAGAATAACAGCTTTTACCATTCTAACTTGTTAAAAAGATAATTTGTAAAATACAAAATGTATGTTAAATCAATTCTCTGCAACATAGCAGAGAAGTAAAGCTTTTGGCGTCATTAGGCTTATTAACTTCAAATCTGATGTCATTGGGCGTGTTAGCATTTCCTTTTCATATCGTGCATATATCTGTTTGATGGAGTAATATAAATGTGAAGCGTGTCATAATTTATTATTGCTGCAAATGTGTGAATGAATTTCTATATCTACTATAAAATTCGTCATATAATAAATACTTTGATAGGTTACATGGATTTGTTGAAAGGGATGTTTGCTAGATGACCTTCGCCTGGCGACCCGGGGTCAAATATGCTTACCAACTGAGTCAATTCGTCTGTCAGAAATCTTTATGACTAAATATATTAACATAAAGTTAAGAACTGAATCTAAATATTTTACAGATAAATAGTTCATAGCGATTGACTTTACCGGAATGAGAGTTCACGAACCTGATGACAAAGCAACCAAAGTACAAAGAGAACATATAAAACCAGTCGATTCCGTGGATTTCGAAGATGGCTTTCTCAGAGATGACGATACCGACTATGATGAAGATCAAAGTGTTTGCAAGGTAAGCAAGAGTCTCCCAAAACCTGAAAAATATAAAACATATTATTAAACATTATCGGTTAAAGCTAAATTCATATATTTTGAGCTTCTATATGGTTCCAATGGTTCCAGTCCTTCAGAAAAGCCACCTTTATATGTTTGTATCTTCTATGTTTTTTGGCATGAATATTGTAGTAGCTAAAACAATACTTAACCCTAACATGCTAAATATCTAAACCGGCAAACTGTCGCTCCACTTCCAATTTGTGGTGTATTTGAAAAACGAGCGAAAGGCATTTCAAACTTCAAAGATAGAGCAGGAGACCGCTTTAAACGGCTAATTGTAAGTATTGTTTACGTTTCTGTCCTCTAATTCATTTATGTTGACTTTTTTTTCTCCAAACATCGATCAAAATAGCTTCGTGTAGGAATGCTGCAAGCTTCAAATAACCTATTAGCTGTTAAGAAATAAAAATAAATTAAACCGGTGAGAAGTGTTTCTCCTGAAGAAATGAACGACGATATATATTGTACTTTAAAACCATGAAAATCTCGCAAATGCCGTTCAAATTTTTTTTTGTTTTTTTCTTTTAACCACAATTTTTGAGTTGATCTTAAATTTGCCAGGCGTGTCATAAACCTATTAATCCTTTCATCATTTTTAATGAAAATTTTGAAATATGTATTCGCTTAATACCCGTGTGGTTTGATCATGATCTGCACTGATCGCATTGTACAAACTTTTGCTGTTAAAGGCTAAATGGTTCAATTCTTAAAGACGAAATCATAATTGAATTGCTTGACACAATTTGTTTTTGTATTTGTCAACCTCAGAAAGTCATATAATAGGATAAAATCTACCTCATTTTAAATAAATATATACAAATGCGAGGATTTTTCCTTTTCAAGATTTATAGTAATGTGTTTTAAGGCTGTTTGAACAAAAAACTTTGAAAGAATGTGTACAACGTACTATCTAAGCTGACGTTTATTAAGTTCCGCGGTTATAAAATTTAAGTAATTTTTCAAAATGACATAAGCCATTTTATGTTTGTTGCCTCTACTAGCAGCTTAATCTTGTAATATTTTTTATTTTATTTTTAGTACATGCATAAGTTAATCTTTGTTATTTTGGCAAGACTTTGTCGTCTTTGTTAGAAGGAGAGAAAAAAAGCTTCGTGGCATTTTGGTGTAATAATCCTTAGCACTTCTATTAACATTCATTTCCTCCAAATGAGATATGTTTGGCAATAAAAACTGCATAAACAAATACGTTACAAGTATTCAATGCCAAATTACTTAACCGAATTATTACTCCTCTGACAATCACCTAAAAAGCCAATTTTATTGTCTCGATTAATACCTCCGGTCTCAGAGTTTATACCTTCAATTTAATAGTTTATGCCACGAACGGTAAGACCCTGACAACAAGTAAATGATATTATTTATAATTTTTATGCTATAAGCTGTTTTTTTTTTTTGTTTTTTTTTACTTTTGCCGTGTTGGGCTTTCTTTAAGGATTCAGATTTTCTCTATTTTAAGATGTATTTTAGAAAACGTGTTTTTATCTTTTATAAGGTTGATCGGATTGCAATAAGCCGGAAAAAATCAAATATTACATTTAGTAATAAAGCATATCACGACCAAGATTTTGATAATTTAAAGGTGATTTATAATTAATGTTTAGATTTTAAACAACCAAACAATAGAAAAATCAACTCGAGAAAAGTACTCAGGCCAAACATCATTAGCAATTCCTATAGATGAAAGTAACTGTTTTTATCAGGTCAATTGTTTCAGCAGTCATCCTATTACATCACAGAAAAGTGCATTGCCCTTCCAATTTATTTCGCAATATTAAACCACAAACAATCATGCCAAAGAAATGGAGCGCATCAGTGCTCAATCTTATCATGCTTTCTACTCAACGTTATTACAGAAGCTTTGGAGACGTTGTTGGTTTTGCAATCCAAACGAAGCTTTTTAAAAGAGAATATTTCCGGAAAATTGACATTTCTTCATAAATGTTTGCAACAATCAAGTAGGTCAAGTCTTGATCTGATAATACCTTCAAAAAGTAATAAAATGACAGATCGAAAAAACAGTATCTTATTAAATAAAGAATGTTATTTAAAGATATGTCGGATTAGGGGACTAGGAAGTGTGAAAATACAAATACTAAATAATTATTTGATTTATATAACCTACAAGCATTGACTGTAATTTGAATTTTCACTGTACTCTTTAGAGTTTTAGAGCCTTGCACTTCAGTCACCTAACTATTTTTTCTAAGAATAAATGATATTATGAATCTATGAATAAACTCCTCCACATTTATTAATGTTGACTATTTGACAAGGCCAATTCTCCGACAGCTATCGAACCTTTCACAAGAATGATCTCTATATGGTTGTATATTTACGTTATGGTGCGTTTATCTAGTGAAACAAGATTAGCTGACCCCATTTATATGCCAGAAAGAAAATAAAGATGGCATGATAGCGTGACAAAATGGTGACATAGAGTCTAAGAAGAAGCTATTCGGAATAGCGTATTTGATTTCTTAGCTCAAATATATTGTGAAATATGATATAGGATGAAATTCTGAACATAATATTTGTTGTTGTATGAATACCATAAAGTTCGTGAAATCTTAGAGAACATACCGTTTCAGATATCATTTGAATGAAAAAAAACTTTTGGTATAGAGCTGTTACAAATGGAATCTCATTATACACTGAATCCGTCGAAAGCTCAAAAAGTATTATGTCTTCTAAGGGACTAAAAACTAACTTTTTGAAATAGAAATGTGTTGAAGAAAACACAGCTACGTGTAGAAACAATATTGATATTGTATCATCTTAGCTTTAATAAGGAATGCATTGATGAGCTAACAAAACGAGGTAATCATTCTTAAATTTCTTATGATCAGTCAAAACGATGCTTAGTCCTTCTAATTGAAAATTTGGAAAACACTGTTCCAGAAAAAAGTTAACGAAAATATAACAACTTTGAATGTTGAATAAAATGTTAAAGATTCTGTAACACAATTTTTTATGGTTTTGTATCATAAATATGATGCTCAAATTAAGGTTTATCAATTTTGTAAGTTCCAAAAAAACATAATTTATAAAGATATTACCGAATGTAACTTTTCATGTAAATAAAGGGAGGTAATAAAAAATTATTTTTTATAAATTCTAAGTCAAATTTTCAATAAGAAATGAATGCATATATTTCAATGATTACATATAATATGTACAAATATTTGCAGTACATATTTTACATATTCTTCGATGCTTAAAATTGTTTTATAAGCATAATTATATACATACACTGTATATATAATTTCACTTAAGTGTGATATGCAACCTCAATTACAACATACAGGATCTTTCAAATATGTTAAATAAGAAACACAGTGTGATTTTACAAACAAATGCATTATACATTGTATCAGAATCCAAGCTGCAAATGATGTCCCAAATGTGACCTTTCTATATTTTAAATTTCCCTGAGTTTCCCTGAAAGAATCACATGTATTATGTCCATTAAATGTATTAGCCATAAAATGCAATCCAATAACATGAGACGGTAAGCAATGTAACGGCTCTCTACTTTATATTTAGAATTTACTTATGATATAACTATTATACTCTATATCTGAAGCTGTCCATTCTAAATTTCATAAATACCCTATTTTGTGTTTCTGTTTTTGTTTTTTTTTATGTTGATGTTGTTTTATTCTGGTTATCTGGCTTTCTTCAGGATATCTATGTATTGTTTTAATCTTTTTGGTATTTTATGCTTTTTATCTCGTTAGCATTTTATTTAATTCACATCACTTTTACATCAAAATGAAACGATATATATCATCATGAACCCCCAAAAAAGAGTAATACTAATACTAGAACAAATCAATGCAATTGAGCAAGCGATTATTATTTTCGGAACACTTCATGCTGCCTTACATCAATAGTGCCTTTCAATCATACCCATGTAAACATCTCACTGAATAAATCACACTGATCTAACATAGTGTACTCTGAAAGAATATAAATAGGTTAATAATATAAATGTACAGACCCAATCAAACCGAGTCTGCAATTTTCATGCAATTTTTTTGTTTTAATGCTCCCCAGTGATCACATTTTTACCAGATATTTATTATATGTATATAAAAGATTGATAGATATCTCGTTAGTATTGTCAAACTTTTTATTGCATTATTGTAACTTGAGCAAGTTTTTCATAAAAAAAAATGTAAACGGACAATATTCATAATTTTATTGATCAATTCTTGCATGCTTCAGCTATAGTTTTGATATAAGGTTCTCATGAATTGTTCATTTAACAAATTGAGACAGCAACGTTTGACGTGTTTGCGTGCATTTCACACCTTCAATACTTCAGTATCCGCATATCTCCTCTTCGCATTTAAATATTCAAGTTTTACGACAACATGAATAAATAATAATAAAAAAGAGCCTAGGGTATGTTGGCAATGTTTTGTTGTTCATTTTGTTTGTTTATTTGTTATATAATTGAAAGTATTTACTATGCAAATAGGATCAACAGTTCGACACTCCAAATCAATTTGGAGAAAATTAAATTAAATGTTGTCAGAGTTGTCATATGTGTTTCAAATATCTCCATCGGTACATGCCCTTATATATATGTTATTTATCAAAGCATGAGAAAATTTGATGAATTAGATAACAATACTCTCTACGTTCTGCCGAAGATACGTCAAACTTGAAATTTAATAAATTTGTACTTGCAAGACGGGGTTTGGTGTAAACTTTAATCCTCAATGAATTATTCATGTGCTAAGATCTCAGAAACCAAAATGACATTTTTATCGGAAATCATGGCACCATTTATACAAGTAATGATTTATTTCCTGTTGACATCTCTTCTTGTTTGACCTTGGCACTCTAAACTTGATTTAAGTACATACTGTATATATCAACAAGTGCTTTTGATGCAAGTAATTTTCATAACCCCATGTTAGTGTTAAGAAAGTGTGACGCAAACCCCATT